GCCGCGCCCTTCAAGGGCACCGGCGCGCCGGAGGCTATGCCGTGGACGAACTCGGGGTGGACCCACTTCTCCAGCTTCACCACCGGGAACCGAGGGTCCTGGGTCCCTATGCCGAGCTCGGCCGCGCGGTTAAGCATGACACAGGGTTGTGGAGGGCACGACGGAAACTGTCCAGAACCACCACGAAACTGCATGAAACGTGCGAAGCTACGGCCCGCACAGTCCTTGTGCCTGGAGTCTCCCAAGAGTGCACGCAGACTGGCGCCGAAAGGCCAGTGACGTTAGGGCAAAGGCTCAGGGTTCCAGGCCAAGATCAGCGCAGACTGCCCACAACGAAGAGTCAGCTGGAAGGGCTTCGCGACGGCGTCGAATGGAGCGACCATTGCCACGGGCGATCGCGACGCCCAACTGGTCGAAAAGGCGGTTGCATATGGTGAGGGCTGCAGCCCCTTCAACCGAGGAGACGACATCAGCAAGCCGATGGAGAAGGGCAGCGGCTTCGGTGCTCATGCCCCCTTGCGCCTCAAAGACGATGGGGTGGTACGTCACCCCGGCTTCGCGGCGGAGAGCCTCTGTCCGCTGATGGCGGCGCTTATGAGTCGCATAAGCTGCGGCCGCGCCAGCAGGCGCAGCGAAGGTGGCATCGCGATGATTGGGCCCCAGGGCGTTGATCACGGTGAAGTCGAGGGCCAGGGGCCCTGGTGCGGGGCCTCGAGCTGTGGGCGAAGCTGTGCACGACGGCAATAATCGTGGATCAAGTCGCGCACTTGGTTGTGTAAGGTCACAGCGTCCCCCCCCGACATACATGACAAGGCGTGTCTGCCGCCGGCATCAGTCGCAGAGCCACAGAACCTGCAGCAACTTGCATCCCCTGCCACGTCGACGCCGAAGCAAAGCCTCACTGCAATGGCGAATTCCGCATGGGAGAGGTGGTTGTCAAGCGTGGTGGAAGCTCCCACAAAGTTCTTGCTCCGGTGGCCGCTCCGGTATGCAGACGACAGACATCGTCAGGGGTGACATCGGCCTTCCACTGGGCAAGTGCTGCCTGGTCCAGCTGCTTGGTCACCGCACTCTTCTGCAGGCCGTTGGTTATGACGGGTCGCAGGGAGCTGGGCAGTCCAGCGTCGTGGAGACGCAGGTTGCACCGCGCGACGGCGGAGGCAACCCAGCGATCAAGGTCGGCACCACCAGGACCAGACGGCCACAGTGCAGTGCAGCGGGCAGCAGTGGCAACCCGAGACCCAAGATATGCTGCATCAGCGACGGCGGCTGCAGGGCGCAATCCCAAACCGCCGCAGCGGAGAGGCAGCGTGGCCTGGCGCCACGACGTGGAGTCCAGGCTACAACCAACGAGGCGTTGGAAGGCAGCGCGCATGCCAGCGTCAAAGGCAAGGAGTCCGGCCTCACAGTGGGCAAGAGGGGTTGTCCACGAGAGGTGGTGCAAGCGCGAAGCGTTGCAGGAATACTTCAACAGATAGAACCCAACCTGAGCGTCAGGAATAGCAGCGACGGCGTCGAGGACGCCGAGCTGCTTGTCGACAAGACCCTGCGAGTAGGATTGGCAGAAAGCGTCCGTGCCAATGGGGGACTTAAGAACCTCAATGTCGCCATCGCCATTGACCGAGCAGCCGAGGGCGAGGAATGGGTCGAAATTGACGCGGTGATGAGGCCCAGCGGCCGCGACAAGCTGCAAGCTGGAGAACCGAAGCCCAACCTGCGGCATGACTGCGAGGAGATGCTTGAGTGCCCGCAGAACTTCCCCTGAAGCCCCTCCGAGGAAGCCGTCGTCTGCGAGGCACGGTGCAATGTCGAGTTGGACGGGGGGCTCGAGGCGAGGCAGTGTGAGGGCCGTCCCAGCAGGGGGAGCCACAAGACCAAGGGACTCCAGCAGCATGCGCTGTACAACGGCATGGCAGGCCGTCATCAAGGGGCAACCTTGTTGCCCACCCGCAGCAGAAAGGATGATGGTGTCCCGGTAGAACACGTTCGAAGGTTTGTTGGTGGGATAAATGTATTCTAACCAGCGGCTCAGCCCGGGGGCAACCTCCTGCATGCGCGAGAGGAAAGCATGGCGATCAACGACGTTGTGCGCATTACTCTGGTCGTAAGCCAGGCACACCCTCCCGGTGTCACCGCAGAAGTGACCGCGCCACCGCGGTAGAAGATGAGGCATGACCTCCGCGCCCGCAGGGATGCCGACGGCGAGCTGGTGAGGCTGCAAGTGTTCCCGCAGCGCGGGCAGTGCGGCACGCAGGAATACCTCGCCAGTACATATTGGGCGAACATCGGCCCTCCCAGTCTGTTTGTTGGTTTTGGCGAGCGCTGTTCCTTTGGCCCCGCCAAGATAAGGTTGCATACCACGGGGTGCCCTGCCGTTTGCCAGGCGTAGCACCAGAGCGGCTAAGAGGCTGACACCGGATTTGTGATCAGCGCCATCCTCGCCAAACACCTGGAGGAGGAAGTCGCCGCGAAGACCGCTGGGACCTGGGGCTGAGCCCTTGGGGAAGGACCGTGCAGCACGAAGGACATCATCTTCGGACAGCTCCCAGCACGGTGGGGCAGGAGGCCGGCTTGAAGCGATCTGGCGAAAAGGTGGTGGAGGGAACTTGGCTCGCATGGCATCCTCGACCTCAGGTGTGGGCTGGGCAATGCGAGCGCCTGTGAGCCGCTGCACGGCCTTGCCGGGCAGACCCAGGCGGGCCAGGCCGACCGCAACCCGTCTGCGGACAAGGTCAACCGCAGCGTCATCATCGAGGCTCGCATTGCGCGAGGCCTCAATCCAGAGCGAGCGCCGCTCGCCAAGTCCCCAACGCCCCAGCCGATTGGCGATGATGCTCCTGTTGCGCTGCAGCTTTTTACGTCCGCCAGGGAGAGCTGCCAGGCAGCGTCCATGCCAGTCGACACCTCCGCCGTTCCGGTGTGTCGCGACAAGGCCCGTCGCAGTCGTCCAGGATCCTCGAGTTGTCACGGGATGGCCGCCACGCAACGCAGGAACTCTCGTTCGGCCAGAGGTAGCAATCCGTCACCCAAGGTTTCCTGAGTGGCGACGTCGGCCGAACAGATCTCATCTAAGCTCGGCAAACTGGAGAGCACCGCGGTGACATCAGCATCCGAGCTTGCTTCGGGGAGCTGCGGGGGTGGTCTTGCAGCGAAAGCAGAGGCAGCGCAGGTGCGGTGAAGGCCGCCGTGGCAGCGCCGACTAACCAGTTTGCTGCAGATGCGGCAGGAGACCAAGTTGTGCGTCCGTAGCCAGTCCGGTGGAGGTCTACCGGGAAGGACTCCGAGGAGATGCGCGTCGACATGGGCGCACAATCCTGCAAAGCTCTCCCGGCCTGCGTGATGGGCATCCTGGCTTGCCAAGCAACCAGCACGGGGTAGCGATGTCGAGGGGGAGGAGCGCTGGCGGCGGGATCGGCCATGACCATGTCGCCCGCCGGCCGAGCCTGAGGTCCAGACAAATAGGGGACGACGACTGAGAATTGCCCGACGGCGGCACGCTCACCCCCCAAGGGGGTCCCGGGCGCGGGTGTCATCAGCACATGGCTCTTGAAGGAACCTGGCTTTTGAGATTAGAGTTCCTTGAGCCAAGTCTTGAGCCGGGTCCGCTTCTCGAGGGTGACGCTTGCTGCATTTCCTTCTCTGTAACCTATGCATTTCCCCACTGCTTCCTATGCAGGCCTTAATTAACCCAGCGTTGGTCACTGCAGAGTCTCCCAAGATGTTCTCGCCGGGCAGGTCTTCCAAACTCGGCCCCTGGGCACGAGGTTTGGACGGGCTGTTGCTTCTGCTTTCAGCATAACGGAACTCGTATTCTGCACTGGTGTTGTATGTAGCACTTATGTTGCTCTGGGTCATTGTCAGTGTTGCTACAACTCGGCACCTTTGCAACAGCAGCTCTGCACTGACGCGTTGGAGTCCAAGCTATGATGTTGACCCTCCAATCTTGAAGCCTTGTGGCCAAAGAGGCGGCAGATCAAGGCAAGCATAGCTTGTCTCCCGTTCTCTGTTGCTCTCTTGCCACTTTGAGCTTCCACCTGTACATACACTGCACAAACAGCCACATATACATCACATGTTTGCCTATGTATATATGTGAAAAGGTTTCTGTGTGTGATTGTGTGTGCACACATACACAAACATCCATACGTTTCAGGGTAAGCTTTAGAAAGAAGGGGTAGGCCGCATGACAAGTCTGATATTATCGGGCCCTCTGTGCATATCTATATATCTCGGGTTTGGGTCTCTTGAGGCTGTTTATGTCACAGGCTACTGAGCTTTGTCGCTGTGGTGCTGTTACACAACTGACATGATGCGCATGCAGAAATGCACTACTTCACAGGCCTCACAAGCATATCCGGGCACATTGCAACACGGAGTGGATCACGAGACTGAGCACTCACGTTGTAAATAGGAGCTCTCACGAAAAAAAACGTAGTGCACCTTTCTTAATCTGCGTATCACCTCCCTGCTGTGCCATCTCGCCATCCGTCCGTCCGTCCATCCGTCCGTGGGCGCATGTGTTGACGCATGCATAACCATTTTCCTTTCCGATTCCTTGTCTTATGTTTATCTCTCTCGCAGTTCTTTCTCATCTGTCTCTTTTTACTCTGCTCCTCTCTCCACCTCTCCGCTTGATTCTGTCCGGATGCTTGGCACGCAGGTCAAGTCGCTTGTCTGTCGATGTGCGCAAGTCTGTTGAGCAGTTTTCACTGGTGGCCCCGCTCGACAGGCGTGAAACCCTGTCGCAGCCCAACAGCCCTAAGCCAGGTACTCGCCTCAAGGAACCTTAGAGGCAGTGCCCAGCTCCCAACCCTCCCCACCCGGTCACCGGAGTCCGCATAAATGTCGAGTAAGGAAGGAGCAGGTCTGCATGCCGGCCTTCGCGGTGGACGACTACCGCACGAAGCAGAACGGAAGCATGGCAATTTATCCGGGCAAAAGCTTGTTGACAGTAGTTCTGTTCCGCATGATTTGTCCCATTGTATCTAGCAGGCATGCTCAAGTTCTACTCACAAGTTTTCTTTGAGGCGAAACCCTTGCCTACCCGTGACATCCAGAATCGAGGAGATGTGTGGATCATGGGTACGCCGTTGTTCTACGCATCTTGGCCATCTTGCGTTCTGGCATGGGAATCTTGAGACTTGAGACTGTTGCGGTCGGGTCGCAGCAACTTGTAAGCTTCTGCAGCTGATACATGGCAAAGGGAGTCAATGACCCCGCTTGAGCTGGCGAAGCTCTGTAGTCAGATTTCCACATGGCACCTCTTGACAGTGGCTTAGCCATGACCCTCAGCCAATCACAACTGTCTAAACCCCATTAAACGCTTTCGCCTTCTGCGTCAGCCAGGGTTATCAATCGCCAACCCTCTTTCGAACCCCGAAACCGCTGGCTGTTTCGGTGTTCGTCACGGCTTCTCTGCTGACGCATGCCGACGCCACAGCAGACGATCAGCCACGGAAGACTAAGCGCAATGTAGCAAGCAGAGTTTCCAGAAACTTGCTCCAACTTACTGCTACGTGAAACTGAATGGGGGCACTGTGCTGCAAGCAGAACCCGCTTAGGTTCGTACACTGTGCACTGCACATGTTCTCGTGGCAAAGTTGCTTGGTCGAGGAGTACACGGTGCACTACGATCGCACAGCGGGTGCGCCCAGCATGGCCTTCAGCTATGCAGGCGGGGCCAGAACGAGAGCAGTCCGAAGGTCTCTAACTGCTCTGCCGAATTCTGCGAATTCTGGAACCTTGGGACTGAGGAGACGTGGCATGCGGCACCTGCAAGGCCTGTCCTCGGACTCGGCGTTAGCCGAAGATGCCATTCCTTTTGACGTGCAGCAGGTCGATGCATGCCAGGTTTCGCTTTCTTGCTAATGCACGCTCTTTATGGTTCTTTTTGCAGGGCAGTCCTTTCAAGCGAACTCGAAGTGTTCGACCACGGAGTGCAACTGCCCCAGCCAGGGCGAGCGCATCGTTCGCGATGGTCCATCTCTGCTCAGTGAAGGCCCGGCGAGGGCAGGGCGCTCGCGTCTGCGGGCGGCAAATACCGTACCGAATGTAGAAGCCACGCTCAGGATCTACAGAACAGAGAACAGGCGCGAAACGCTAATTATGACGTAGCGATACCAGTGGGACTATCCACATGCAGGTGCATCAAAGCCAGATGGCTTGACAAGCCTTCGTGACTCTGCTTGCTCTTCGAGGGTGCTCACAGAGCCGGCTGTGGCGGGGTTGATATGATGAGCTTCAGTGATGTCGGCTATGTCGTGAGCCAAGGAGAGGTGTTGAAATCTGGCTACACATGGGTTGGCAGAGTCGTCCAAGGTCGTTTGCTAGTTGCTGCCCGTTACTAGTTCAACCGTCTTAACATGCATGGAGGTTGGATCACTGTACGCGGAGCTCACCAATCCCATCAAACCCGGCTGACCGTTTTAAGCTCGACATGCACAGTTGGCTCACGGCTGTGAGTCCAGATGCGGTTCACCAGCAAGTCCGCATCAAGATCCCGTAAGACCTACGTTAAGCAATACTCTTGTTTTATGGCGTCGCACTTAGTGATTTGGGCGTTTTCGGCTTGCAGGGAGAGAGGAGCCGTGGAAGGACCTCTGGGGCGTTGGGTCGTTTGTGGGTCTGTGGAGGCATCCGTGCGCACCCAGGCAAGCTCAAGCACCTGCCCACTACGCGGCGGCTGGACACCTTTTCGGGATCCTTCTGAGCCTGAGAGAGACTGTGAAATCCGCAGCCAGAGCAACTTCAGACTCCGACCTGAAATCGCCACCTCAGAGCTTTCCGCTGCTCCAACAAAGAGTGGAGCTTCGGACGATTTGGGTGCTATGCGCTGCCTTGCTTTAGTTTGAGAATTCTTGCGAATGCACAGTGTCGCAGCCAAAACAAACCGACGTAGAGCGAGGATGAAGTGGGCCACGGTTCTGGGCCTCCTTCCCGTTTGCCGTGGAAATGTCTTCCCGGGGAGTGCCAGACGCATGCGACAAAAACTGTGGTGCAAAAGTTTGTTCAGGGTTCAAGGACTGTCAGTTTGAGTTCAAGGCGCATGAAGCTGTGCAGTTTTGTAGGGGTTTTGGGAAGGAGGCAATCTCACTTAGGGGTCACGTCTCGCACAATTACAAGGATTGACGTGAAGTTGCCCGCTGATTTGTGGTATGCACAAGGCTAACTTGATCGGCGTTGGCTCCCCGAGAACGCTGCTGGGTTCGCTGTGCCCAAAGGGCACGAGACGGTACCCGGTGGCGATTGCTTTTAACGCTTCGGGCGAAGGGCGCATCTGGCGCCAATTGCCTCCTTGATCATTATATTAGCACGCATAATGTGCGCTGGGACAGCACTTTCTCAAGCACAAAGATCCATGCTGAGCAGTCTGGCCTCAGGGTCAGGAAGAGAAGTTCCAGATTAGTTTACAACTGTGATTAGGTGACGACCTACGTCAGCCCCAAGAGGATATTCAGGCTTGCTACCCAGTTAAAGAGACGGTGCAGTCGTTTGGCGATGTACGGTTTTGGTGAGACTGCTCTTGAGAAAGATCCCACCGCGATGTGCAGTGAAAAGTCCAGTGCCAGTGCATGCGTCTTTTCGGCATGGGCCCACTTCAAAGGTCCCTCTCTAGACAGCAAGGCCATGCGAAAGCTGGTCCTGCCCTCGGCCCCAAGCATTTTGGACCCATTGCGCCAGGATGAACTGCGACGCTCTTGGTTTAGCTTTAGCGTGCCTCGGCTGAAACACGCGTCCATATGCCGAAAAATACGGTCAACCAGGAAGGCCAGGATTTTGGCACTGCATCAGGTCCAAGATTTTCGGGCTACTCTGGAAATCAAATTCCTTAGACAATTGTAGAACAATCCAGAAATACGTGATGTAGGCCTGCAGCTGGAAATCTAAACGGGCATCAACAGCCAACCCGTAGCTCTGTATGAGCGAAGGTTTCCGCCCCGGGTGGGGAGGCGAACGTTCCAAACAAGCGTCGTCGTCGTCGTGGATAGCCAGAGAAGAAACCAGCAGACAGTCGTGATAATCATGAATCAGAAGAGGGGCTGCACGGGCTTGCTTAGATTGGAGAGAGTGCGTACATCGCCGACTACTTGACATGTTTACTGTGCGATCTGACGGGGCAGTATTGTTGTCCAGGGTTCTCACCTGGACGCTCTTATGCTTCACGGACTGGGTGGTGGCGGGGCGCTTGGACCGCTTGGGGAGTTGTGCCATCTGCAAAGAGACTTCCGTACCCCACGCTCTTTCGGGGTATCCATTTTTAGCCCATCCAAGAGCAGGGGAAGCTCATCTTGCCATTCTTGCCATTGCCCAGGTCCGCTATGTGCTCGCTTGGGGCCCAAGAGATGAAGGGGAGCGTCGTGCGGGGGCCGCTTCGGAGCATCTCTCGGTACCGAAGACGTCTCCGTTGATTGCACAATCTTGAGCCCTGGAGCTTGCAAGTTGACTTTGAGTCCATGAGTAGTCCATTTGACTCACTTTGAATACTTTCCAGGCAGCATGTTAAGTTTTCTGTACTTATTGGAACATGTTAGTCTATGCTTCAAGCCGGTTCTGTGGTAATGTGGATGACGGCGCCGAGAACGCTCTGCAAATGAATCCTCTTGCCAGCCTGTCGTTCTGAGCACTTTGTACTTGAAGCACGTCGCAGCATTGCATCTGTGGCCAGCACCAGCTAGCTCTCGCTGTGTGCATCACTGACCTCGCCCGATCTCCACTGCAGCCCCGAAGAGCATGAAACTAGTGAACTAATGTATACTAATGCTTACTCCTCAAGCCTTAAGCAATAGCCGTGCCTGTGCAGTATGCTTGGTTTTCTACGAGTCGGCCAAGATTTAGCTTGGTCGCTTTGCTGCAATGATGTTGTTGCTGAGGAGCACATTGATTGGTTACTTGGTGAGGTTCGATGGAGTTCTTGAAACACTAGCAGTAGCATTGGTCTCTGATTTGAGGTCGCCCTTTGCGGAGCTTTGTGCGTGCACTTGTGTTTGGTTGCATTTTAGGACATCTGATTGTACCACGGGCCGGGTCGGGCTTGCATTTTCTTGGCTTGAGTTGAGGTTTTCATGTCATGTAGCCGTCCTGGACGAAGGACCTGGGTGATGAGAAGATTTTTTGAGTATTTGAGATCCAGCAAGACCCTGCACCCAAGACTGCCAGCTTTAGCCCAAAACATTTTGAACCTCGAACACCTGCGTAACCAAATTCACAGCCAGCTTGCAGTCTCGTAGCCTGTACTGCTAATTCGAGTCAAAACTGAACTTTGGAAGAGTCGATTGAGGCTTCTCGTCAGCTTCAAAGCAGTGCTAGCGCAAAAAAGCCGTTGGTGTAATGACGTACCCTCAAAGACTCAAAGCAGCACGAGGTCCCGATTTGCAACCGAGGTCCCGCTCACAGATCTGGGCTCTGCACTGCTCGTGATGTTTGGCCCTCAGATATCCGGGGTTGCTTCTGTGCATCCTGCTCGCCGTTGCCGGCACGCTGTGCCGGATGAGAAACCACAAACTTCGCACTGCATACCCTGCTAGCATTCCGGAAGCGTTCAAGGGCAACTTCGAAGCTAGTGGCACTGCCCTGCAATTGCGTTCTTGGTGCCATTCCTTTACGAGCACCTCATGCTCCGTCTTTGTTCACCGACTCTGATCAGCAGAAAACTTGGTCTGTATCACCTGTGAAGATGTGTGAAGATGTGTGAAGGTTCGTGAAGCAACGTCTCGTGAAAGGTACCAACTGTTGCTGGGTTTGTCCTGGCCGCAAGCCCAGAGCAAAGCGTCTCTTTGGCCGAGCTGTCAGAGAGGCAGTTGCACGTGGATGTGTGTAGGATCGTGTGTAGGGCAGCGTTGTCGTTGTCTGCATCCAGACTCCTGTAGCATCCAGTTGTGAAGAAATACTTTGGTTGTGCGACTGCAGACTCTAGTGCCTTCTGGAAAATTGATGGAAGCGACGCCCGCCTTGCCCTGTTTGTTGTAACGGCAAGTAGGAGCGCAGGTTCAATGTCACTCTGGTAGCAGAGCTCCCGCAATATGTGGTGTTCTCCATAGTTTTGGAAGTCCAAGGTTTTGCAGGCTCGATTTTGCATGCAGGCAGCCAGAAGGATCGAACGAGCGGGAGCTATCCAAAACTCTTGGAGATGGGTCTCTTGAGCCGCGTTCTCTCATGGAGCGGACATGCGCAGACCAGTCGGATTGCAAGGGCCACTAACCACGGTGAAGTCTTTGTTTGTCGAGGTTTTCACATTTTCGTGCTGTGACGACAGATCCCGGGACCATACCAGTGAGGTGGGTAAGTTGGCAGTTCATGCTGATGCTTTGAGTGTCGAGTTGTGTGCGATAAATGTCCGAATCCAGATTTCGAGCACTTCGTTCCATCTATGGCAGTACACCCACCCCTGTCTGGGGCAGTGATTGCTGCGGCTGCAGCGACTACCGTGCACCAAAATCACTATCACGTGTCCGTGCTTAGATGTCCTGTCTTCATGATTATGCATCTCCAATCTAATCTTGTCCGGAGACGCAAGCCTCACGAACAAGTCCGCAAAGACAGGGAGGAGCTTTTTCGTAAAGCTTGTGCCTCAGCCGTCAGCCTGTGCCCTTTGTCAGTGCCGCGCCGCCAGACTTCGCGAATCCGCGGGTTTGCAAACTTTGCCAGGCAGGGAGCATGGGTGTTTGTTAGTCCGACAACTGGAAGCTACATGCAGGTGTGCGCATGAATCAACTTTCGGAGAGCAAGATGCGGAGCTCCAAAAGGAAGAAACCCAAGCAAGTCTTTGCTCTGCAGGGCCGCTGGAAGCCGCCCAGAGCACATCACTGCAAGACGCCCCTTGGCTTGCAATCTGTTGGAGTATTCGTCTGCAATACTCGTACTCGGTTGTGGTGCAGAGAGTAGGGAGGACATAGGCCCTGGCCCTGCTAATTCCAAGCCGGCAACGTTGAAACGGCCGCATGTCCCGAGACTGCGAAGCGTGGCTAGCTTCACGAACACCCCCCGCGCTTTGCAAGCACAAACACAATGCACCCGTATCGGGCAAAGCTTTTAGGGAGTCCATTGCCGGTCCCAGTGAGAGCTCAGCTGGCCACAGTCGCGGCCAAACACAAAATAAGCTGGACCCGTGAGATGCCTGTAATTTTCGTCTTTTTTGCGTTTAGGATTAGATCTCTCGACTCTCCAGTCTGCTGCTGGAAGGTCCTGGAAAGAATATATGGCCTTCCTAGATAAGTCAAAAATGTCTGGTCGCATGTCAAGGACTCCTGAAGATACAATCCTTCGTATTGAAGGCGAGAACCGACGTTCCGGTAATGCCCAACCTTGTACCATTCTTTCTGCACACAGCAATGCCACCAAGAATTAGCTGCCAAGGTGCAAGCGCTGCATCTTTCGGATGGACCGTGTCTGCTGTGTATTGTGTCGAGGGTATTGTGCGGTCTTGTGACCCTGAAGGGTGAACGGTGAAGGGTCCGCGAGGGCGCAAGAGCGACTCCTGCGAACGTGTTGGACCTCGGCGCCATTCCTGAGCTTAGCCATCTATCAGAGTGAGAACCGCGAACTCTGGACCCCGAATCCTTCAGGCCATAGGAAAGACCACAGGAGTCCTGGGCCTACAAAGTCTGCATGGCATGTCGCTTGTTTTCGCAGTGTAGATACGGCTGCGCTTACAGCCCACATGGTTTGAAGGGTCTTGTGGCAGGACCACCACTGTCCCTGGATCAACAACTGCGTGGGTCTTTCGAACCAGAAGTTGTTCATCCTCTTCCTAGGCCTCCGAAGCAGATGTCCGTTCATTTGGGCTTTCCATTGGCCCGACTTGAGTTGCAGCTTCAGATTGCTTGCCACGTGTGTTGGGAAGAAGACTGAATTGCCGCTTTGGCTGAACCTGCAGTTTACACCTGCGCGAGCGCGGTCTTCACTCTGGTCCTCCTCGCCGGGAGTGCCTTCTACTGGCTGTGGGTAGGGGCTCCCGGAATTCAGCGCTTGCCGCCTTCGGCTTTGAGAGGGTGATTAGAGCTTTAAGTTGTTCAGCATCGCTGCACCGGGGCCGTCGGTTTGCAGTTTGCAACGGTGTTCTTCGTGTCGTGCCATGAAAAGTCGAAGTATAACGCAACACCCCGAGCTTGAGCCGGGAAAGACCTCAGCCTCACCCCCAGCCTCGTGCCCAGAGCCAAAAGAATTGGTCGGATGCACCACCTCCGGGCTCCGCGTCGCTGATCTGCCGGGGGCTTGGTGTGTGCACATCGGGGCTTCGGATGGCCGAGTTTTCGCCTGACCATGCTAGGCACTGGGATGGTGGCAGTCGAGTGCTTCGCCGCCGTACTCTTTGTGAGTGACTTCCTCCAGGCTGGAGACTTGTAGCGTTGGGAGCTTGAGGAGCAGCGCTCTTAGCAGGATGCAATATCAGAAGTTTGCGTAGGCTCGCCGCGCCTGGTATGCCAACAATGGTTAATTTTTCTGAGCTTTGTTCTATCCCTGGCATCGATTTAAGGTGCGAAGGATAGAGTTTCTCAGTTCTTAAGTTTGGCTTCTTGCGCATTCGCACTCAGCGGAAAGGTCTACAATGTATGCTTCATCTGGTCGAAACGAAAACATTAAACCAGGTTCTTGAACACAGCCATCGCGAGTATGCCGATCGGCGGTCAATGTCCAGCTCGAAACGGTCTCGCAAGTCAAAGTGAAGCTCACACCCTGGTCCTTGGCGAGTAGGCTTGCAACATGTCTGATGCCGGACCCTCGCTTCCCGTCCGAACTGTAGATCCGGGTCGCAGGATGGATCCCGTGTCAGTCGGTGTGTGAGTTTGTGTGAGACCGTAACGCAAGGAGCAAGTGGAGTCGATTCAGATGAACTCAACGTTGGTCGAGACGTGCGCCGCGCACTGCTACGTTTTGCAGCAACGCGGGTATATGTCGCCTGATGAGTAAGTGTTTCTCGCTCAAGGACCCAAGGGCTCAAGCATGCTTAAGTGCGAGGTACCAGCGAACACATGGGGCACGGTCGACATTCTACAACCATTTCGTTGCTGTCTTTGGCGCGTCCTGGTGCCTGCACCCGGTTTTGAGGTTTAGAGTGGGAGGGTCGTTGCGGGCTTAAGCTTGTAGTGTGCTGGGATTGGACCAAGTTGTTCGAAGCAGTGGGATTTGGGATCTGCGGAGTTTCCTGGTGCTGTTGATATTTTTGTTATGGAAGCAGACTGACAAGATGATAGGTTTGCGTGCCCTCAACCTTAAGTCTTGAGCTCTGCTGTTTACGGCCTTCTTCTTGCCCAGGTGGACCTGGCCGCTGCCGTACCCTTCGGCCCCACCGCCTGCTGCCTGGTCCAAGTGGCAAGTTGCTTCGATATGCTGCGTTGAGTGCGGCATCTCACAGTGATGTCAACCTGAGCATTCCACGCGCAGATGCCCGTTAGAACTGCAGGCTGTGCATGTGGAGAAAAAGATAGATGCAGGAGAGAGAGAGAGAGAGTTGGCTCAAGTGCTGCACCTTTGCTTGGGGGTCTGTTCCACCTCCTTGCATCGGGGGGCAGACAGAGGGTTGACCTGGGGCTTGCCCTGGGGGAGCCCTTCTGTTTGCCTCCAGCGGTGCTTGAGCAAACCTTTCCGACGCATTTCTGCTTCAGTGGCCCCGTATCACCTTCGTTAGGACTCCGTGCAATACTCCAGGAGGGCAAGAGTGTTGCACTACAACCTTAAGGGGGACCGAGTTAGTGCAAGGCCTTCAACTTGGACATTGCTGAGAGGGAACTCGAACCTGCCGGAGCAAACCTGGAGCCAGGGGGGAGGAGCCGAGCGTGTGACAACGGAAGTACCTGAACGGTCTCAACGGCGGGGGAAAAGAAAGAGACCTGCGACAAAGGCGGGCACGACACAGGTGCCAGAGCAGCTTCAGAAGAAAGGGAAGGCACAACCAGAGCAGCGTGTGACAAAGGATCGTGATGAAGACGAAGATAGCATCCCCGACTGGGGGATGATACCCAAGACGTTGAGGAGAACCTGGAGCTGACAAACACAGAAGTCAGCAAACCTTGCAGAGCACTACCCGTCAAGTGCAAGTGCATATCTAATCCTTTGCTTCAGCAGTGTACAGCTCAGGCACCTGCCCGTACATTCCCTTCCTTACGCAGCACAAAGGGGGAGAGCCGTTTTATGTACTTTCTGTACTTGGGGGGATGTTTGCTGGTGACCGTAGCTGTTGCGCTCTGCGTTTGGAAGGGGACCAAGTACCTCAATCCTCTAATGTATTTCTTTCTGAATGGCAATCTGATCCATTCCGTGAGTGCATGTTTCGATCCAACTTGAGTAACTTGACAATAAGTAATTTGGACAGAGGCGGGGGAGCGAAATCTTTAAATGAGCCATACGTCTGGCTCTTCTCAGGCAAACTCATGCCGACCCGGGCAAAACCGCCCATAATCCTTGTGTCTTTTCAACGCCCCTCTAACCATACCTGTCCTTTCCTTGCTGGGGGGAGCGGATTAACCAGATGGTGCTGCGCTTAGTTTGTTTGCCTGCTGTATATGATTTGCTTGATTCCCCGTTGAAACAAACCTGGTTATCCGCTCCCCGACCGTACAGCTGAGCTCCCTTCCGTGAACCGGACGGGGGACTGCTCCTTCCTCGAACCGCAGGAGCGCGCTCGCGCGCGGGGGGTAGAGCTGGACCGCTCTGCTCCTTTTGCCTGGCAGAGCGAGACAGAGACAGAGAGAGAACGACCCTTCAAAGATTCCCCAAGTATTGGGGGGCCTTTAACGGCCAGGGGGTCTGACCAGCCCCCTGGGCCCTGTGGAAGAAGAGAGAGAGCGATGTCCAATCTGCAGTTTTCTCACGTCCCCTCCAAGCCCCAAAACACATGGGGGGCCAACAGGCCGGGGAACCTCAACAGTCCCCAAAGCACAGTGGTGGAAGGTTATAGAGAGAGAGAGAGAGAGAGATTGAGAGAGAGACGAGAGAGAGTGTCCGGTCCGGCACGAACCGCATTTTCCTTCATCTTTCGGGTCAGTCACGGCTCCCATGCTCACCCAGTCCACTGCAGAGGGTAATGCGGCGCAGCTGTACCTCACTCTGACTCGCACACTCGGAAAAAAACGGACATACCAGGACACGAGAAAAGGCGCACAGGTGTGCCAAGGTAAGGCAACCAGACCATGCTCGGGCTCCTTCCTTCATACCGAAATTCGTGGCGACTTCTTCCGGCTCCATGTCTGCAAACTGATGCCTTGGGCATTGTGCGCCTCGATGGGGGCAAAGTTCTTGGCAAATGTCGCGAAGCGAGCTGCCCGCTCAGGGGCCGTGGAATAGGTCCTGGGATGACTGACTGTGAATCGAATTTCGTTGGAGCCCACATCTGCACTGCGAGCAATGCTAAAAACCCAACACATCCCAGACAAACAACATGCAACAACCACTGTGTTAGGCATCATAATTCAGAACACTGCCGTTTTTTCACGGTCGGTTACGGCGCGTCTATCTGGCCTCTTGCTCCCTTCAAAAGTGAGTTGAGGATGGTGGTTTTTGGAATGCGTTTTCTTCTGGGGGTGGAAGGAACGTTTCGGGCCACATGAAACCGTTGGCAGATCGGTCGATGGCCTCAGCTTTCCATCCCTTGGAATGCAGATCACCCACCAGGAACCGTGTCAGGATCTGAAAGATCCCGTTCACGAGGAAAACATGAAACCTGTCGTACATCAGGCACTCGATGATCGGCGGACCGTAAGCCGGGTGAGCTAGCAGTCCTGTCGGCTTGTAATTGAAACCGAAGGCCGTCTGGAGTTTGTCGAAAGAGGTCTTGTTCATGTGTTCGTGCTGCTTTTTTCTGCGAGGCCAATGCAGCACTTGCTTGCACAGCGCTGCCAAACAGGGTTGTTTTGGATGAATTCCATCGCGCCATCTACTAGATCTTGATTGAAAACATCTTCGCAACCAGCATCCATTCCAAATCACGGAAATGAGCAGCGTCACGATGCCGTTGAGCAACAATAAAGACTCTGCTGCCTAAAGAATTTGCTTCATCCGTGCTAAATGATCTAGTATGCCAAAGTGAACTTGCTGTGTACGTGAACCGTGAACCCAAACTGTGGCACTGATGCTTCGGCCCAACATGCACCCGAATGTCTTGTGGGTACGTTGTACAGATGCTAGACAACATGTCTTCATCTTGTCTAGACGAACGGCAAGCCGTTTGCAGAGACTGTCATATAATTCCAACGGTCGGCTCGCACAGCTAGAGGAGCTGGGGCAGTTGCGTACGAAGCACTCCTGGCCCCGGATGCACGAGCGTCTTTACGTTTCGTGCCAGCACGGCACTCTTGGCGAGAAAGAGAGAGAGATAGAGAGAGAGAGAGAGAGGGCAACCTCTGCCCACAGCCCTGGCGAAAGAAAAGACTCACCCACCGAAGCAACAAGTAACAAGAGATACCGGAAGGACCCGAGTCGTGTTTCTTATTCATCCGTTGGTACTTCACGGTGCCCTGTAAATTTTTTGTCTCCTGTTTCCGGAGACCGGGCTTTGCGGGTCTCCACTCACTTGTCACCCTGCACTCGGCTTCTTCCCTTCGCGTGGGCTTGACCCCCATTCATAGCTCCACATCCATGAGAGATGCATCGTGGATCCTGTCAGCGGTCTTTTTGTGGTGCGAGTCACGTGGAGGCGCTACAACCCTTCCAGGGTCTCCTGAGCTGGTGTCGGGCATGTGGATTTCTCCGCTCATTCTCTACCAGCCCAAAGGGCCGCTCCGAGCGCACCCCCCCCCCAAAGAGGAGGACGCGGCAGATGACTTGGGCCAAGATCTCTCTCTCTCTCGCTCTCTCTACCGGGTAAGGAAGGGCGGGCGGACGCCAACCATCCCGCACGCGAACGCGCAGCCGCATGTCCAGGCGGGTGTTTACAACCCCATCCGAAGGTCTGCTTTACACATGCTCTATCTCTCTCTCTCTCTCTCTCTCTCTCTCTTTTCACTCCACTTCACTCCGGGGTCCAGGGAGCTTGTCAAATTCCCCGCACCGAAAAGTGCACCCCTGTTGTGAGGCCTTGTGGGGGAGCTGAAACCTACTCTGAAGAGAGGGTGTGAGTGTGTGTTTTTTCGGGGTCGTAGAGCAAAGATCCGTGCCGCTCCTCCCACTCCCGAGCGTAGACAGACGTTCTGCTTCCAACCGGGGCTCGTCTAGACCTTGAAACCGAAGCTAAGGGCACCGCCAAACGCGAGTTCTTGCAGGTCGAGGGTTGATAGCGGGGCTAGATGCTCCAGGGACTCTACTCCCTCGAGAACAACAAGGCTCTCCGCATGCATCGGGGGCCTGCACACGCCGTTCCATGTTTCAACAGACGTCAGACCTCTGGCGTCGCGCCTTCCTCACAGCGCCAAACTCCAAACGTCCGGCGAGCAAGCAGGCAGGCAGGCAGGCAGGCAGCCAAGCAAGCAAACAAGCAAGCAAGCAGGCAGCCAAGCAAGCAAGCAAGCAAGAGAGAACAAAGAGCTAACAAGGGAGAGTGAGTGAGACAGTTGTGTTCATGCGTGAGATTGTGCGGTAGGGTCAGTGTTTGTTGAACGGAGACAGTCTCTCTCCCTGCAAAAACAAGACGCGACCTATGAAGCATGCCGGCGGCCAAAGTTAGGCCAGCCGTCTGCATAAAGAGCCTGGGCTGCCATCCCGCACATGAGTATGCGCGTGCAGTTGTGTGGAGCAGAGTGCAGTGTGTTGGGGGGTTCCTCAGCATGTTCCACATTGAGCATGTTGAGAATCCAATGCGCGGGTGGACAGTCCAGTCCTGCGGTAGGCGGGAGGCAGGGTGTAGAGTTAAGCGTGAGGTGCAGAGTTCTTTCTGCGCCGACCGCACTCCCTCCTCTGGCTTAGAGAAAAGCTTAAAGAGATCGAGAAGGAGAGTGACAGAGCGAGAGAGAGAGAGCGAATGAGAGGGAGGGAGGGGCGTCAAAGGCCGGACTACACGGAACCTGCGATCGCCGATGATCCCTACGGCGAATTAAGCCAAGAGGCCCCGGGGCAAGAGGCTGATAGATCCTGCAGTTTTCTGTCCCAGAGATTGGTGGAAGGGCTCTGCAATGCTTCATATGTCTTTGTGGTGCAGAAAGCTTTCTGCATCACAGAGCATGGCCATCACCGTCCGTCTAGCTTCTTGGAACCACCGGAGCCTGTGAACTTGGTGTCGTATCTTCTTGCAGGTCCGGTTCAGAGCCTAAGCACAAATGCTCGGCGCTGTTCCAGGACACGTCCGTGATGGACGACAACACCAGCTTGGGCATTGCGGGTGAGGAAAGTGAGGAGGCTCACAATTCCGACCTTAGCTTCTGAGGATGGTTTTAATGCCTCAGTCTTTGTAATATTCGAGACATCGATGCTGCTGGTGCCGATTCCTCTGCGGGAGTGGTTTTCTTGACAAAGCGTGCAACTTAATCGTCCAGCATCTGGCGCAGACGCAGCCTGACTTCCTCAGAATGCTCTTCACGGTCTTGGATGCTTTAGCGTCTTATTTCGTGATGTGACGACCAGACCGTAACCCCTCATGTCCATTATGCAGCCTTCCACGACTCCAGGCGGCCATGGGCTCTGAGCCTCCCTTTGCGCCATTCCCACCCGTCTGCTGGCTGAGAGTTGAGACGACATCTTTCTGCTTCTGTTTGGGCGGTTTGAGAAGTGGAGATTTTGTTGGCGGTTTTCGGATGGTTTGTAGTGTCGTGTGTCAGCTTGGAGGATGGAAAAGCCGTTTCTGGGTGTCGGCAGTTGCGTCAGGGGATTGAGCTCCACAAGATACGGAATCAGAATGCTGTAATCTTTGGCATCAGGAAGCAGTCGAGCATCATAAATGATGTTTTTGATGGGAGGGGACCGAGCGGAGACTTGACTGGAGGCTGCCGACGGGCCACGAGGCGCCAGAGCGAGGCGGCGGACCAAGGGTTTGGGGTCTCTGAGAGTCCGAAGCCTCTAGTTTGGCGTTTTTTGTGCTAAACCCCAAAACCTAGGCTCTCTGCTCGCACGTCGCTCGCACGTCGCTCGAAGTTCTTCCTGCCAGGCATCGCTACACCACCCCGCCAGCGGAACCGGATTGACGGCGGTGTGCTGGTTGGATTTGAAGATGATGGACACGTCTTTTTGTTTGGGTTTGGAGACCCACTCCCCACACCCCCACGGCATACCCTAATTACCTAAAGTCGCTCAAACCGGACGGGATCTTGTGACCATGTGGTGCATGTGAGGTGCAGCTGCAGATGACGACGTGACTTCCGAGAGCCATCTGCAGAACGTCGCTTCGGGCTCTGGGATACACAAATGGGCCTTCCAGTCTTCGCTTCGAGGCGACCTGATCCTAGGTGCGAGCCAAGGAGTTGGGACAATGGCATGCCCAGTTTCACCTCACACGGAGAGCCTGGAGCTTGAAAACGAGTCGTTTCGCTTTTGTAGCCATGCTTTCTGATGCAGCGAGCCGCAGCCCGAATTGGATTTGTAGCTGCGCGGCAACCTCCATACCCTCGGGAAAGCATTCCTCATCTCCCGCACGCTATCAAGTCGCCGTCGTAGCCTGTAGCGTTGCCGTACCTCTCGCTCAATTATTCGACCTTGTTTCCTTTACCAAGGCTTGTGATCTTCTACATCGGCCATCGCCCTTGAGCACATTCAGTCTCTAAGGCATTCATGCAACTGAACCCCCTCGGTGCTTTTAACTACGGCGCTCACCTTGACTAATCCTTGCACAGCAGCGGCACAGTCTCGAGCCTCGAGGAGCAGAAGCTTTTGCGGGTTCTCGCTGCCGTCGCTTCTGGCATCTGTCCGCGTCCTGCTCACAGGGGTCAGCAATGACATGGAAAGGCACAAAGAGACAGAGCACTTCTAGATACAGTACAATGCAACCGCGCGGGCGCAGGCCTATGCAGCAGCCTGATTTGCAAGGTGTCGTGCTAGAGGTCGGAGCAATGGAGTCCCGAATCAGCATCAGGGCAAAGCGACTTGCCTGTTGGGTTCCATGGCCCACATGGCAATTGATTGCACCACGACCTAGGACTCCTAGGCTGGGCTTCAGGAGCCGACCCAGGCTAGTTCTCCTCGTTTTGTCCCTCCTTTCCGGGCCATGAAGCGGGCAGTGACTCGGCAGTACATAGAGGATTCTTGACCGGTGTGCCGACTTCTTGCGGTGTGGTCGACGGTTCTTGGGCATGCTTCGAAGAAGGCAGATGGCTTCCCGCCGGGAATGCCACCAGGCAAAATGGTCGCGACCCCAGCCACGAGGGGTTGTGAACGTATTGAAAGAGGTAGCCGTCGACATTGCTTTCAGAGGACATTCGCTCTCGAATGTACGCTCCAAGAGTGCTAAGAGTACACTATGCTGTCTGCGTGCATAAGGCGGTTCCACAAGGGGCTGATGCACTGCAGACGCTGTGGAAGGCTGCACTTCGTTGGAGAGGGGGCGGGCCGACGGTTAACCTACAGGTACTTGTGCCCACTGTTTGATGTGGGGGATCTTGTACAAAGCAATAGCACCCGAAGCCTAGTTGCAGCTTTTTCTGCCTTGCTTTGTTCAATCCTATGCCTTTCCTAGCCTGGCTGTTGAAGTTGCGGAACGTGACGTTGCAAAAGCTGAGGGCGAAGCTGTGGTTAGCCGGGTGGAGTTTCTTTGCCTCATGAGTTTGTCATCTTAGCGTGCACGAGGCGGCAGCTGCACTAGCATCCCTGCCAGGCTGGCTCTTGCCATGCATCGATGCCTAGATCAATGTATGTACATACATACACACGGATAATAAACATATCATGAGGACGAAGGAAGCGACCATCCTCAATTCGTTGCCATGCCAGGTTGCTCAATACTCCAAGCGAGTGGCATGGAAACGCATTGTTTGGTCCCGTCTCTTGTATAGGGTTTTCAAGGCATGGGCGGAGTAGTCTGCGGCATGGGTTGATCGTTAAAACTGCCGAAGCGCATGAGGTTCACCCAACCCACTCTAAACAATCGAAAAACGACTTGGCATAGGAATGCCACCCATCCCGGGCATGCCGGGTATGCCACCGCCCTTCAAGCCTCGGGCTCGGAGAGAACATGCTTTTGCGACTGTCCGACAGGGCCTGTGCTACGGTAACCGGCAACTGAAACCTTGAGAGCCTCGCAATCAAAACGCAAGAAATACAGTAGGTCGATGTAGGTCGAATCCATGATGCTATCTATCCTATCAAAAGACCCCAAAGCCTACCGCAGAGGCCCGCTCCTGCTGCCCCCGCGGGGCCTGGTGATACGCCCAAAGGTGCGGTGTGTTTGAAGTTGATCGGGTTCACGAGTTTTCGCTCACCAATCTCCAGGCCACGGGCCAGGAAACTTATCCGTGCTAGATGGCTTGACGCTGCTGAACGTTTCACAGTTACGTGACTACAGCCGGCAAAAACATGTATTGACCATGCTGGGAATTGCAGGCGCTTCTTCTGATTGGCACAAACAAAGACCACGAAAGTAAGCCCGAAGCACTCGAAAGCATCAGCACGCATGAAAACATAATCTGACATTGCAATCTGTCAGAAGCAATGCTACAGTGGTGGCATGACAGGTTTTAGTTCGGATAGTATTTCCATCTGTGCCGGGAGCATGATCCAGCCCATAATTCAATGCAAATCCGAACCTGAATTGATGTCTAAAGTCTCTAGTCAGACACCTGCCTTCGGTCGAACGAGTGCCGCCAGTTGCCCCGGGCAGCGTCGTGCCGCCCAAGGCCCCTAAGGCCATGGGCGGGCCAGGGCCTCAGGCAGAGACGACCACAGAAGGGGAGGCAAACGCAGAGAAGAAGACAATAGCCCTCTCCGCTGCAATTTGGCGGCCTGGCGCAGCGAGACAAGCGCAAACGAGCAGCCCTGTGACTCCCCGTAAGCAGGGACCAGGACGCAGATGTCCCCAACCCGCGCACATGAAGTAAGACACTCTCGGATACTGTCGGGGCAATCCTGGCACAGGCTTTCCAGCAGCTTGTCCGCCGCATCGTCGTTATAAATCAGAAAGATCATAGCTTCTGCATTTCCTCAGCGGTATTGAGATCCAGAGACCTTGCAGGTTGAATGCACGCGGAAGAACGAATCCTAGACTTCAGCTGTTTATGGCACTGCAGGCTTCTTCTTCCAGATGCGCCTCGCTCAGAGGGTAAATGAGTTCTTGGGGATCCTGAAGGTTCAGGCTGTTTTTGGACCGTGCGGCACTCCTTCTTCGATGTTGATCATCCAGGGCTGCAGGGCTTTCATGTTCGTGTGGCGCACAGTTTCAGAGCATGTGGCATACCCTGGCTTCGTTCACTTCGTGAGGATGTGATCGAAGCAGGATCTGCGCGCCGTCTTTGAAGTCCTGGTGTCGAATTCGAAAAATGGTTTAGGTTCTGTTGTTCTCCTCAGGTTTCCGGCAACGGAGCCATGCCTTCGGAGCTGCCGATGTCGGTGCGGGCCTCCGTGAGTTTCGCTTGAGTCTCCGAATCGTGCCTTCACCGTATGATGTAAATTTCGCTCACACAGCTGCCTGGCCCTCAATTCGGCATCACACTGATATAATCTCGCGATGCTCGTGAAGCCTGACTGAAGCATGCCATTGCGGAGCTGCTTACGTCAGGGTGATGTCGACGGTGAACGATTGTGACCCCACGACTTCCGACCACCGGCACCAAGCCAGTACCAGGGGGGCACTGCTCCCTTGGAGCCTCAATTACTTAGATCGTATCGTCCGTTCTGGGATATCTTGAATCAAGTGCTAGGCCGCTAGGCTCCAGCAGCGCGTAAAATGTAGTACTAGTTAGTGCTTGGCAACGCATCTGCCACCAGGCGCCGTTGCTAATGAAAGGCTGAGCTGATAAACCACAAATAATGCAACTGAAACAGAAACAGCACATGTCGCAAAGCTTGGCCTGCGCATCCCAGGTGCCCCCGTGGAAGGCACCGCGTTTGCCTTGTGCTGCTTCTGCTGCTGCTGTTGTGAAATTCAATGGATCGTTTTGCTTAGAACTCAGTCAGATACAGTTTGACAAATCCTTCAGGGCTTCCAGGGGCATGCAAAAGTTCAGCACGCTGCCAAGGACGTCGCATATGGGTAGGACGATCTGGGGCAATCCCAGCAAGAAGGATCCAAGCTACAGCGGTGTATGCCAGAATCATTGTTGAATTTCACGGAGGTTCCGGAAGCAGAATGAAGCGTAGAATCCAAAAAGCCTGAGTAGCAGAAAGCACGATATCCCCGCGGCCAGCTCTCCTCGCCGCCACCGAAAGCAGCGCCTGCGCTGATTGCCAAGCAGGGTCCACCAGCGCAGGCGGCAAAAGACGAGTCGAAGCCTTCTTCTGTCTGTGGGCTTAAGGCTTAGGGGCTCAAGCTTCCCAGTAAAGCTGAGTGGTGCAAAGGCTGTCGCGGGATGTTCTCTGGGCTCCTTAGAAATTTCGGGAAGACCAGGCATCGGAATCTCAAGACAACACGAGAGAATGAGAATTTCCGTGGCTGAACCATACACAGCTGCTTAAACTTGCTATTGGTAGCTTGCGACACCGACGTTGCGTACCATAGCCATAGATGCTGCTAGTTCAAGTCGTTCTTGCGATGTCAGTGTGCGCAGCTATTAAAAGAAATTGAAGTAACTCCGTTCAGTTTTGGTGTTATCCGACCATGCTTATACGGGTCTTGCACCTGACATGCGAGGCAGAGACGTCGCCGGAGGTGGCACCCTGCAAGTCCCAGGCAGGGCACTGATCGAAGCCTTGCTTGGATTCCTGGTGAGGGAATGTGGGGAAACTCCCAAGTTGACTTCTGTCGGTTGTCTGGCAGCTGCAAAGATAGTCCAGGGCATGATCGTCCCGGCATTCTGCCGGGGTGATTGATATGGGAATTTCAACTCATGCCCTCAAGGTCAGCCGCGGTCCAAGTTCTGCCAAAATTGTTATATAGGTCGGTCCTGCAATGCAGGATGTTGCTCTCTGCTCCCGCGACCTCGACGTCTGTGCTTATGCAGATCCCAGCTTCTGCTCACTTTGTGCTTTCGTGTTCGGCATTCTCTTCTGTTGGACTAACTGACTTTTGATTGGCACCGCTTCGTCGGTCACCGGCTCTGCTCTCCGCACGTTTACAACCTGGTGCCACAGCGGTGCACCCGAGCGTCCAAATGCTGCAGCGGTTCGTTTCGGGCGTCTGCTGACTCGGTTTGGCTTGCTGCAGAAATGTAAGAAGTACATTAAAGGTTGTGCAGTCGGAGGTTTCTTAGGAGCCATGGCAGATTGGGTGTCGGCTTGCCCCATTTTGATGCCCAGTCGTTTTCTTGGCCACAGATGGCTCCGAACGATCTCATGGCCAAGCAACAGACCATGCCCGGCATGCAGGTGCGGGATCTGGGCCGAGCCTGTGCAACCAAAGCTTCCACAGTGCGTAACAACATCATGTATCATCATGTTACACTGTTTGGCTCCAAGCTCTAATTTGCGGTTCGGCTTGCACGCCCGTCTAGCGTGTCTATCCGTCTAGCACACTTGCACTCTCATCTGGGGTCCAAGCCCCAGACCTCCTAGACTTGGAAAGACTCCTCCGAAACTGAACCCTGTTGACTGCCAGCTTGATCATAGCTCGAGGAGACAGCCTCAGGTTTCTTTGGTAGCCGAGGCCGAAAGTTCGGAGACACGGGTTGCGCACTGTGATTATGGCCAAGCTTCCAGTAGCCGCAGTAGCCTGTCTGTCGTACCCGATCGGGGCGAGGCACTGCCGTGGAAAGCTCCAGCTGCCACAAGCAGCTCCTCGATCAGCACAGAGTGGCTGACGGTGAAGCTCTTGGAGTTGCTGGAGTGGGGTCCAAGTGAGCCTTTGAAGGTCCGGGCCCGCCGAGCGGCTCTGCAGGCGCTGTCGGTCTAAGTGTACCGACGAGTGTTCNNCCCCCCCCCCCCCCCCCCCACGCGCTGCTCCAGAGCAGAGAGCTGCCAGTCACAGCTGCATAGGTTTGAGGAGCCTTACTCCTTCCTGCAGTTTATACTCCTCGGCAATTTCATGCTTTCGCACCAAGTTGAGTAGTAAATCCGCTGATCTGAATGGTGTGCCCGGAGATTGGCCTGGGTATCTTGAAGCATCATGGACCTATATGAACTGGCCGCTCTTCAGGCTTCTCCAAAGCAGCAGCGGCCGCATCTGCCACACCCTGAAGTTCCAGTGTTACAAAAGAGAAAGGGCTATGCAGTACATCTCGTGGTCTTGGAGTCGTTCGAGCGCTGTGAACGTCGAGCTTGCGAGGTTGAGGATGGTTGAGGCGAATGGGCAAAGCTGTGTTCAGCCCGACCAGGCCATGGGACAGGCCTCGGCGTCGCCCACAGAGCTCCTCCGCGCGGGCCTCGGCTTCACGAACGAAGGATCAGAGAGGTGCACCTGCTTCGCTCTAGGTTACCGCAGTGGCTTGGAAGGTTTCGTGACGTGCGTGTTGTGGAGGCAAAACGAACTGCAAAGGCCTGTGGCTGCTTTGCTCAAGCAAATTTTTGGCTTGCCGATCCTGATCCCGCTTACCACGCTCACTTGCGAATCATGGCCCGACGCTCCTCCAGCGACTCTCGCCTCATGTTGCGCCAGGGTTTTTGGGAGCCTCGTGAAGCTTCAAAGACTGGATTTCGCGGGGGCCAAAACAGCACACCTTTTGCGGCCTGTTGACTGCAGGCTCTGATCCTTGCTGCCGCCCTGTGCGCTCTGCTGGCACTCCAGGCCGGGAGCAACGAACCCAACCGCCTTCGTTCTCGCACTCCAAAGCGGACTCCCACTTTCTGCATGCCACGTTGCGTCCCAGCACTCATGCAGCCTGGTCGTCTCAGAGACATCCTCTGCCAGGCTGCTTTCTTGGGCCCTGGCCGCAGCGGTCAGGCCCAGGGTCTCGGATGGATCATGCGAGAGGATTGGATTCTTGAGAGATTTGGGTTGAGAATTTAGGATGGAGCTTGGGGTCGATTTGAGGTTTTGGATTTGGCATCCCTGATCAACAGCGGCCAATGCTTTTCTGTTTTGCAGATGGCGGCAGGTTTCGCAGCAGGACATGGCCAAGGTGGCGGCAGCAGGTGCCGTCTTGACCGCCCCGGAAGCGGCCCACGCGCGACTTCCGGAGGAGAGCTGCCACGCAGCAACCGGCTTGGGAAAAAGGCTTTGGCACGAGTTGGTAAACCTGCTCCAGTCGGTAAATGCTTATCTAGAGGGCTGCCAGCCTTCGGCGTCTGTTGCAGCTTAGCTGTCCCCTGTGAGGAGCATGTTTTCTGGATCCTCTTTCTGCTGCCTCGTTCGTCTGTCGTTCACCGCCGCTGAGCCAAGAAGCCACCGTCGTCGTCGTCGAGCTAGCCTTCTGTGTCTTTGGAGCGTCTGGGAGCATTGTTGCCAGTCTTGTCGTTTGCAGCGTAAACACACTCACGCCGTCTTCGCAAGAAATCAGTTCGCTCTTGCTCCGGTTCGGAGCTTCGAGTGCTCGTCATGCTCAGTTGTGGTCTGTGGGGCTCAGCATGAACAGATGTCGTACCGCTTTGTAACACACACTCGTAACTGATGTCAAGCTTTCCTGTGCTCACACCTCTGCTGCCGCTGGCAGCTAGCACGGAACAAGACACAAGAACTGCTGCTGATACCGTACTTCATCGAACGATTGCGTTACAGGGATTAAGCTGTTGCAGTGCACCAAAGGTTCCAAGGATCCTGCTTTGTAAAGTGCGGAGAGGAGTTTGTTATCTTCGCGCCCATCGTGGATGTGCTGCCGGTACCTGCGGCAAGAGTTTGGGCACAATAGTTCAGTCTTCTGCACATGGTGCTCGAGCTTCAGAGGTTCTCTGCAGTGCTCTGTAATCAGCCTTCGAGCACCAAGAGTTCCAAAGCGTTTCAAAGCCACAGCGCATCGATGCGCAACCTTGTGGCCTTGTGTGCTTCATGAAGATGCTCGCGAATTGAAAGACCTGCCAGATCCTGCCTGTGTTCTTCTTCCTGCTGGCGTTCCTGTGGCAGGCCAGTAGCAGTCCAGGAAGCTGTGAGCCGGCACTTCGAGCTTTGAGCGACGGATGCCTCAGTCTTCTTGGCACAAACCTCGGACGTGTCTGCGTGAGGCGGCAGTCGGATTTCGCTGAGCGACTTGGAAGCTTCGCGGGCACGAGGACTGGTTGCAAAGGACAGTTGACTGGGAGGTTCCGCCGCGTCAGCCGTAGATCCGTAAGAGTGAACGGCGCAACGCAGCTTGCCCAAGTAAGAGCCGCGGCTCGCACCTCGCGTCTGCAGTTTACTGCCAACCATGAAGCACGACAAGCTGGACACTATCCATTCTCACTCACAAAGCAACAGAATGGCTATGTGGGGCCAGAGTGACACTGTTGTGGTGCTGAAGGTCTATCGGGAGTATGCATTCGGCCCTTTGAGCTTTCGCGTCATAACCTCTCCCGCCGCGCCGTTGCTGCAGGACTCGAGATTTTTCGTTTCCGCTACGATAACACAGCAATGCAGCAATGCTGCAGGCAAGTGCGGAAAACAACCCTGCGATTCGTGCAGTTGGGGAGCATAATGCTGGCCACAACACTTACCAGTCGACCAGCTGTTGCATTGATCCCCCACCCCTTCTTGTTGTCGACTACCAATCTCAGCTACAATGTGTTCCAGTGCCACACTCTTTCGTGTCTTTTCGGGTGATGCCTTGGAAGCATTACGTGATGTTTGAGTTTTTGATACGGGCTCGCTGCATGAAAAGCTGCCGGGCTCGAGTTCAAGACCTGTCCACACCCGAACTTCGACTGCCTGGACAAGACGCAATGGCCGCACGCCGCAACTGGGCCCAACTCTACATCGATTTTCCGTCCGCAGCCCCATCCCTCGCTCCCCCATCTCCCCGATCCACTGACAGTGCTCGAACTTGAAGTGTAGGAAAACAGAGAGATGGGGCCATGCATGTGCTATGGCGGGTAAGCCACGAGCCCTTCACCCAATACTCTCAGGCTCCAGCGCTCTCGTCCTCCTGGCGGCCATGGCTGCTCTGTGCCTCCTGCAGAATCCTGACTGTGTTCTGGCATGTTCTGGCAGTTCAGATATCCTCCACTCCCTACCAGGCTTCGAATTACTGGGCCTCATACAGCAATTTCTCGCTCGACGAAGCGCATGAAGCCAGTCAATCTCGGCTGCAAATGCCTGGCGATGCTCAGGAGTGCATTCGTCAGCCCCAACGGCAGCCACAACCTGCGCAGCGAGGTGGATTTCTGAGGTGTTGAGAATGGTTAGTTCAAGAAAACGTGAACTGGAGATCCTCCGTCGTTTTCGGAGCTGTCTCGCGGTTCTCGTGGTTGTCAGTCTGTTTGGTTGCTCCGTTCTTCGTGTTGCGGCCGTGGTGCGCGGCATTCGGCCCGGGCTCGTGAGTAGAGACTCGAAGCCTCAGGGCACGAAGCGACCCGCCAGCTCCATCTTCGGAAGGTTTCCCAGGATGTGGCCAAGGCAGCAGCCGTGGGCGCCGTTCTCGCCACGCCCGAGGCGGCACATGCCCGGCTGCCCGAGGACTTGCGGGGACCTCTCGTTGCGGCTGCAGTGCCTGTGAGTGCTTGCAGTGACGAGCAGAGGAGTTCGTGATCTTTGCCCCGATCGTTGACGTGCTTCCGGCAGCGCCCTCAGAAGACTCCTGTGCTCAGCCTTTTGTTTTCTGAGCTGCATGTTTGGAGTTTCGGGGCTTGAATCTTCTTAAATGATCATGTAGGATGCGCTAGGCCATCGAAGAATCCATGAACATGAGCGCCTTTGACCGTTTGAACTTGACAGAGCTGCTCGTGCAAAGACGACTCTCACGGCCTGCTTCAGCATTCCAATATGCCAGTTCAAATTTTCGAGTTCTGTAGACTCTGTAGACTCAGCCTCTACCATGCCCTCAATCAGCAGCGAAAGGCTCGGGCTAGCGAAGCTTCTGACGTGCTTGGCGGAATGCCACCGCTGGTTTCATCAGTGCTCCTGTTCCCGCAGCTTCTCTAAAACTGCCGCAGATCCTTCCGGTGTTCTTCTTCCTCTTGGCATTCCTGTGGCAGGCCACAGCAACGTAAATACCGCAGAGCAGAGCTTGGGCTTCCGTTAGGCCTTGAAGCAACCTGCTAACCTGCTCTGGAACCACAGGCTTCAGAGCTCTCAAAGCGTTCTTTTACATTTAGCTAGTTGCAGGCTGCCGTTGGCTTCCGATGAGCGGCCGGACATCCAACGCGGGCGGAGGGACCTCGTTCCGTTTTTACGTGACGGAAAAAGGCTCGGCTCATACACAAAGGCAGGTGTAGTACTTTGGAGGGCACCGGCAAAAAGAGGTCATTGCGTGAGCCAAATGTCCCTTTTCCGGGTGTTGTTCAGCGTGGCATCACATGCCGGGCAGCACTGAAGCATTTCACTTCCACATGTCGTGCTGGATTGTTGTTGAGATCGCATGGACCTTTCGCACAGGGCTTTGAAGGAAATGAAAGGACTAAGTTCAGGACCCGGGTGTCTGATTCAGGGGCTCTTCTTGATGACATCCAATGTACAGTAGTGCCGTCAAGGCCGAACACAGCTTAAGTTTGCTCTGCTAAAGCCAAGGAGTTTCGTACTTGTACAGCCGTCTCCCAATTGACGCCACATCTTTGAATTGAATTGACCCAAAGGTGTAGCTGCACGTAACAGTTTCAGCACCGCTCCGACGGGACAACTGAGATTCCCGAGGCCGAGGTGAGGAGCTTCTGCGGCAGACGGCTCAGCGCGGGCGCTCAGACGCGGCAGATTGTAAACGCATGATATCTGAGTTTCCACTTGCCTTTGTCCACCCACCTTCGGTTCTAAGCAATGCCAGCATCCACACCCAACTCACTTGAATCTTGCCGTCTCGGAAGCAGCAGCTCTTGGATGAGCAGCTACGGTACTCTCTTCAGACCCCGGGCCCTGTTATTTAGATATTGGATGGTGTCAGAATGATCATTTGGGCATCCAGGCTCCACCAGCAGAACGAGCTAGCTCAGAAGCAACAGGAGGCATCTGAAGGGAGAGCCGGGACTTCGCTTGCACGCTTCGCAATCCGCTTGAAGCTGCTGCAACGGCAGGAAGAGCGGCGGCGACAGGAGGAGAAGGAGACCCACCTTGCCGATGTGGTCACCGAGCTGTTGCATTCAGTTTTCATGTTTCGGCAGTGCCTTGCTTAAGTGATCTTAAGTGGCTGGCTCGGCCCCGGGGGCTCGGCAGGAGCAAGCACGCCAGAAGTTCGAGGAGCTTAGGCCGATGGTACCACAAGAAAGTACGACAGGGATCACGGGAGCAAGCATCCACATAGTCGTTGACCTTTACTCGCGACTTTGTGATCGTTACGTGCTTGGCTAAGAGCTCGTCATCCTGAATGTCAGCTCTCGAGTCTCAGAGTATTCTATTCCTGTGTGCTTACCTGCACTCAGCCATGTAAGCAAGCCCCCTTCCTGATTTAATGCAACCTAACTGCTCATAAGAAGGAAGGAATACCCCAATGCCTAACCGACGGCGCAGCGGATGAATGTTGCCCCCTTGAATTCCGCAGAGTGTGAAAATCACCAACTCTGATGGGTACCACACAGGCCCTGCAAGGTTCTGAGAGCATTTGGACACCGAGGCTCTGCAGCCAAGTCCAGGACCCTTCAAAACCGGGGATACACTGCGATCGACAGGAAGAGTTCGAATCGTCAGCCCATCAAGCGGACTTTCATGCGGTGCTGGGAGGCGGCAACAGGAGGAGGAGCGCAAGCGACTGAAGCCCGGAGCCCACGAAGTTGACTTTGCAGTGGCGAGTTGTTCAAGTTCTCTGCCTGTTTGCTCTGTTTCCACTTTCCACAGTTGCTTTCATTCCGAGATTCCAAAGTCCAAGGGAGGAGGCCGACCATGCGGCGCAGAGTCTCCAGGACGAACTGCGGAAGCTCATCGAGGTGACACCGCAGTCTGAACTAACTAGGGATGCTTGCTAGTTGTGGCGTTGCTGCTAGCGGTTTCAGGGCCAGTCCGGGATGGAGGATCTTGCCGGAGTGCTTTGCCTGGTTTTTGAAGCGGCAGGTGGCCGAGCTGGAGGTCCAGATGGCCGAGGCCCGATATCGGGTTTCTTTCAGAGCCCGAACCAAGAGGCCATGAACCTTCCAACACCTCACGTCTCATTTGAGACTGTGGGTGCAAACTAGCAAGACCAGTCGCCAATGTAACGTGCCTTCCGGCAGAGTTCTCACCATCTCTGCGGGACGACAGCTCCTTGGCTCTTGGCCAGCAGCAGAAGTCACCGCGCGGAATGGACAGATGAGACCTTGCGGGTGGCAGACCTGTTGTGATGGCCATTGATGGCCTCTCTTGGAGAAGATGTGAGCACCCGTGCTGGCAGTTAATGAGGAGGTTTTGTAAAGCATGCATCCGATTTGGGTCTCACAGCTCAAACAAGACCTTCTCTGCTGCTGTTGCTATTTTCTGGGCGTGCGTGCTTCCGAGCCTTTCACACGGGAGGCACAGGGAGGCAGCCTTCAGCAGCGCATGAAGAAAAGGGCAACCAAGTGTTCTGAGACAGTGCGAAAGACCATGGACGGCCGCAGCGTATGCTTTCGAAATTTTGTGGGACTTTTTTCTGCCCAATGTTCTGCCTATCAGCCCGTCATCTCCCCTGCCAAGCAGTGGGACGACCGTCCCTATGAGTGAGTGAGCGAATGAATAGACGAATGACAGAACAGACGAATCAACGAACGACCTTTTTCTGGGGGGGTGGAGGTTGGTTGGGGTCGCATGCATGGTAGCAGCCCAGTAGCAACATCTCTTGCGGGTGGCTTGCATCCAACACTTGGGTTATTTCGATGCTTGTACTGCTGACAAGTTTCGACTTCCCGTCAAGATGCCAGAGACTGGTCTTGAGCTGGGTTGCAGTTCTTTCAAATCAAAGGCATAATCTTCACAGAAGTGCAACAAATCAAAGCCGCATGTGTTTCGTAAGTTTGGCTCCGACGGGTTTGAACCGATCAAGAGTTCGAGAGTCTGGACACAGCAAGTTTGTCGATTCACCTTGAGATGTCGCAAGGCAGAGGCACAGAAAATCGACGAGCCGAAGCAGTGCGAGGACGTCGATGGTTATGCAGACGTGCATGTGTTTTTTGTTTTCGGTGAGTAACGGGTGGTACATCGTTTCAAGGTGGAGGGTAGGTTTGCGACCCCTGCTTGTCGACGAGGCCCCTTACAGTGAAGGCTTGGATCTTGGTGAGCTCTGCTCTGCGAAGTGGCTGCTTGGACACGGGCTTTCAACACACGGCGGCTTCAAAGCTTGCCTGTATGAGACTCTGAAAACGAACTTGGTCCCAGGAGCTGCTCCGAGTGGCAGAGGATTTCGAGGCTTGAGCAGAAAATTTCTGAGAGCCAAGGTTACGGAGTCTGCTTCCTGACACACACATCCCGCCATGTCGAAACGCGAGAACTGCACCGTTGCTGTCCCAGCGATTCATCCGAAGGGGTCTGGAACTTGCTTTGAAATCTGCAGGGCTTGCGACCATCAGTTTTGGCCATGTGCAACATGTTAGGACCATGTGGGTCTCTGAAAGTCGAAGCAAACTCGAGCGACTGGGCCAGCAGGTCGTCAGCCTCTCCGCTGCCACTGCAGTGAAAGCGTGCTTCGAAGCTGGGCACGTCAGATGTTTACCTTGCTGGTTGTGGCAGGCTATGTGGTGGTGCGATACCATGCTTCGTTATCTCTCTGAGATAGGCCATGTAGCATAGGTCTCCTGAATAAGCTTCCTCAAGAGCTGGACCTGCAGTGGTACCCTTGGTAGAACAACCCCCCCCCCCCCCCAAATGTGCCGGAGACATCTCACATTGAACTCGTCTGAGTCTGAGCAGCCAGAACCCAGCCGAACCTCGTCACCACAACTCGTCGGAAAATGCCAGAACTGTCTTCTTCCATGTATAGGACCACTTCCGCTGCTACCTTGCCAGAGTGTTCACACTTGTGTTCGGATGCTTAAAGCCAACGCCAGAACCGCGGTGTCAAGCAGGAGGGTCGGAGTTTGTAAGGACAAGGCACGTCCTGCTGTACTAGACGTTTGTCGCACAAGTCGATCCTAGGCGGATCCACCGTTTGGTTTCCTGTTAGTTTTCAGGGACACTATACACCCTTGATAGTGCTTTGTTCCTGCCAGGTGGCTGACATGCAGCCCGGACCCTCTTTTTCCGTGTCTTGCCACTCTTGCTGCTTCTCAGTTTTGCTCAGTCGGGCGCATTTCTTCGAGTTTTTATGTTTGTTGGGTTTGCGTTTTACTCTCTGTGTTGATGATGCTTGCAACATACTATTGCTGGCTGAAGGTTCGACACTCAAGTTTGTTTGGCGTTGTTGTCCAGATTTCATGCTGGAACTCCTGTCTTGCTAGGTTTCGCTCAGGTTTTGCTGTTTTTGATGCTTGCATTGTCTGCTTTGTGTATTGCAGAACCAAACATCCATACCCAAAGAATAACATCCATGTTTTCAGTGCATACCGTAGCTACTGCTTCACATGCCTAGTGAAGCGGGTCCTAAAGGAGTAAGGCAGTAAGGAAGATGGAAAGAGTGAAAGCTCTAGACTCCGACAAAGACGCCATCGTACCAGACTTCCCATGCCTACGGGCAACAGCCCCAACCGACGCCTAAGCCTCCAAAATTCTCGGGATTGTCAGGTCTTTGCAGTTCAGAAGCGGTGAGAATCTGCAGGATTGTTTGGGGGCGGATCCGACAAACATAGGGAAGCCCCGAGCCAAGGAGTTCATGGACGGGAAGCACATGAAACTGAAAGGCAACACGGAGGCCAAGATTTGCAGGGACACCCCAAAGCTCAGTTCGTATTGGAGTGAGTTTAGATCTCAGACCTTCGGCAACTAGAAGTGGGCAGGCCACGATGTCGAACTGCGCCTCGCTGCTGAAAAGGCACCCAAGCCGTGGTCGGTTGGCTTGCACTGTGGATACTGGATATCGCTGTGCGGACGTTTCAGGTGAGAGGTCGCGGGGTGGTTGAATGTGTTGAGTGAGTTCCAGGAGCCATGCGGCCAAAGCTGGGTCGGAGCGGGCCACTGCGAAGGCCCGGGTGTTCTGATGCTGCTTCGAGTGCTTGCAGGTATCTGAACGCATGGTGGAATCCAAAGAGACAAGTCTCGCAGGTGCGGCTCAAGGCGAAGCCTGCCCGGGAAGAGATCACCGCAAAGTCACTGCAGGTCGCAGAAGAGGGCTTCAAGCTTGGTTGTTCCAACACAGCTTGCGTGACCTATGTGCTAGGAATTATGGGGCAGCTCAGCAGTAGAACATAGTAGAGCCTAGGGCCTAGGGCCTGCGAGCTATCACCTGTGAGTGGGAGGCAGAGTTAGACACGCTGCTCGCAGCCGCCGAAATTGAGGCTCGCATTCAGTGTGGAGCACTTGAGGGGTTTGGAAATGGCAGCATCGGGCAGCTTCAGTACGCTAGGACGGACCAGAGGGAAGTCATTGGTGAGGGTTTGTGGTTTCGTCACCAACTGCCGACTGGCAGCTCTTGAGCTTACACAACTTTGGCCGCCAGCCACTTGTTTCTTGGTTCGTGACGACTTGGAAAGTACCAGATAAAGTTTGGTGGTTCAGGGTTGCCTTATACGTCATGGCTAATCAATAGTGAGTTACCATGAGCTACCTGAGGTCAAGGCAGTCTCGTTGTCCATGTCCAATAGCCGAAGCTGTCAAAAAACCTTGACAGTTTGCCCAGGTGGAGCAGGTCAAGTCAGCCCAGGCACGGGCCTTTGATGCAATCAGGGGTGTGTAGGACTCGGTTTGTCCCAAAGCATCTCGAAGCAACAAGCACTGTTGGGGGCGTTGTTGTTGGAGAAAGCGGTCGAGAAGTGATTCGGAGTGCAACTCACCCGTACCAAGCGGTATCATGGAAAGGGACGAGGCAAGCTGCATCAGGGATGTGTTTGTAGTTTATGTCGTTGGACAGTGTGTGCCACTGGAGGGTGCGTCAAACAGGATTACGCTACATTTTGCTTTTGCTTGTTCAGCTGTGACTGTGAAACTCATCCTTGGCAGTCACGCTCGTGAGGACCCTGCAGACACACTTCCTGCCAGCAACCGTTTGCATACTTTGCGCAATTTGCCCAGAACAGATCAATCTTCTGGAGCCTACGGTGATGGAATAACGTGAACATCACAGAAACCTGCGCCAGGCCGGTGTGCTGAAGGCCCAAACAGCTGCCGAGGCGGAGGCAGCGCGGGAACCTGTGGAACTGTTATGGGCGGGAGGGGAATTGGCAGCCTTGCTGCCAGTTCGCTCTTCAGGGATTGTTGTTATTGCATTGAAATTGACATCTGTTCACAGCCAGCAGCCAACCATTCCCGGGAGCATTTTTCCGAAGCCAAAGCTGCCTGCAAGTGATCTCACTGCCCGCAAGCCATCGGCGCAGGCCAAGGCCACGCCAGAGGGCGGTGGCGGAGCGCTCGACAAGGAGCCACGGGCTCCGCCCCCTTTGTTGGAGCTTCGTGTTTTGTTGCGAGGGGGGTTCTTTGGTTTTTTCTGACCCTAAAGGGCGGCGGGCCCGGCGGCGCGGCTCTCTCTCTCTCTCTCTCTCTCTCTCTCTCTCTGCAGGAGCTGATCCGGTTGGCCACGGAGTTGGAACGGTCGAGCGAGGAGGCCTCGAAGTCCGTGGCAGGCGGGGCCCGGCGCAGAGCCGCACGGCCGTATTGTGAACCCATCGTCCCCTTTGCAAATGCAAAAATATGCCTCTCGCAGCTGCAGCTACGCGTTTTTTTGTGTGGTTTCTTAGGGACTTCCGAAGGCTAATTAGGTCTGCGGGTCTCTGCAGGATCGCACCGGGATGCTGCCTCCGGGGACTTTTCCACATCCATCCCTTGACAAACAACTTAAGATGCTCTGCGGACAAAGCATGTCGAATCATGCAGCTGCATCCCCGTGCAACCTTTCGTGTGCCCATTCGTGGTGAGGGCATCTGCCAGCAAACAACGAGCTGACGTACCTTCAGCTTGCAAGTTCGGCCGCAACATGCATTTCCCACTCCTAGGTTCTTAGATCTGATATGGATCTCAGTCTTGCTTGTTTCTTCCGGTGTGCTCCTCGAAGCGCAGCCCGTCCAGGATGCATGGCCCGCATGGATGGCGCCACAAACATGATGCGGACATTCGGACTGCATCTGGCGGGTTGTGGGCCGACGGCAAGGTACAAAAGGGTTTTACAGCTCCTCAAGCGACGTGCTCAGGATACGTGGACCGACGGAGGCGCCTGCAACGTCGGGTAGCGGGCACGTGGTGTTCGGGACTTGAGGAGAAGTGTGGGCAGGCAGAGCTTGTGAGGCAAAAGGCTTCGGAAGCCATCTCGAATTGAGCACCCAGGTCAGGTCTGAGACACTTGAGAGCGAAAGCTGTCACAAACCCGGCAGGGACATGCTGGGACCTAGCTTTCCCCCGTCACCAAACCTGCAGCCAGGAGCTGAAGACTTCGGCTGGTGTTCTGCAGAGCCTGCAGCCCAGCCTAGCGGAGAGAGCCGGGGGCTTTAAGCATGCGTTGCCATGCCGCAGCCGATTGTCTCTACAATCGACCCCCACTGGGTCTGTAGCCGAGCTGTTCGAGCCAGAGCTCCTATAAAAGGAGTGCACGTTGGAGACGTAGGCTGTGTCGTTCGGAGATCCTTGGAATGTGGAATTACATAGGCCCGGCCTTGGGTGCCGCGTCTGTGCCCTTCATCCTGGCCCCTGTGCCAAAAACCCTCGAAGCCGGCCGAAGCGAGTCCTGAGAAAGTTTGAAAAATCCAAGATCGGGCGCGGACGGTCAAGTCAAGCCTCGAAGAGATGCTGCAGAAGGCCAGGCTTGGGCGAGGGGTTTTGGGGGGGTGGCGACCACGCTGGATGGTTGAGGGGCTGTTCACTTCTGAAGCTGTGCAAGCTTTTAGGCTTCCTCCTCATCCCAGATCCAGGAGCATCCCTTCCCGTTCCACAACGACAAAAAAGGCATGCCTTTCATTGCTCACTCCCGAGGCCTGCTCGTCACTGCAGGACCCTGAACCCAAACCTGCTGTCCGGGTATCCCAAAACCACCTCATGTCAGTTCACCTCAGCTGTTGCACTGCACTTCTGAGGCCCGTGCTGCGAAAGCCATGGCGGCTCAGCGCGTCGAGCGCGAAGTCCCTTGACCGAGCACATCAGCTTTTCAGGAACTGGTGACTCAGCATTTGTCGCCGTGATTCCTTGCAGTTCATGTCTCAAATCCCGGGGTTCGTAAATCACCCGCAGCTGCCGATTGAATAGGAAAGCCCCGAACGGAGCAGAAGCGGCAAAGGTGCGGAAAGCCGAAGCCTTGAAGGAGGCCGCGCGCCAGGCCGCTGGTGGGCTGTGATGGATCTTTTCTTTTTTCTTTTTGCTTCCGGGCCCGGGTTTGAGTGGTCGCTCCCAGCCTCCAAAACTCAGCGTATCAGCGGCGCGAAGTGGCAAAGTCCCTATACAAAAGAAGCAGAAGAAGCGGGACCTCCATCGATGACGTTCAATGCCTTCTGCATGGTTAGTAGTGTTTCAGGCTTTCATCCTGTCAGAAGCTGAGTTTTTGGGACATGGCTGGCCTGGCCGCATCCACAGGAAGCCATCTTCAAGCAGTACGACAAGGCAGCGGCCTGCTGCGATGCGTTCCTGCCTAGTTTCGCTGAACACAGGTTCGCCACGATCCAGAACCATAGTCCGTATAAGGAAGCACGGTTGCGAAAGGCCGATGCTCGATCCAACACATAACGCTTCCAGGAATCGCCTCGCGAGGTCTTCCAGGGCCAGCAAGCCCAACAAAGCTGCCGTTATGTCAGTATGTCGTCGGGTCCATGAAATCTCCAACAAGCCACTTCGAATCGCATGCCCAACTACACTACACTCCGAACACGCTTGCCTATGAATGCTTCAGTTGCGCCGGGTCTCCGCAATCGTTCTGAAAACTCGTTGGACATGCCAACAACGGCTGAACGACACCGATTTGTGAGAAGAGTGACAGCAACGATCAAGACCGTGCCGAAAGGAAGGGTTCAGGCATCAGAGCATGCTAGGATCGCTCAGTAAAGCGATTTAAAGGACAGCGATGGGCTGCTCGATGAGTCCGAGATTCGAGCCCAAGTCTCAGTGGTTTTGGTGGCTCAGGTTTGGCTTGGAGCTCGCGGCACAGGCGACATTCCAGTAGGTCCTTATCCTCCTTCGAGATTGCGGTATGGGAATGTCACGCTCGAACTCGTGGTGAGCCGGGCTGGCCCCTGTCAGCGATTCAGGTCGTCAGTTACCGGCGATTTCACTACAAAGCTTCCGTGTGAGGCTGGTCAGCAACTTCAACCTTTGATTCTGAGGCTTATATCGCTGGCGAGTACACCTTTGAGCTTGCAGAGGTCGCCAAAACTGCAGCTGCGAAATCAAAGCCAACCGTTGGAGCCGCACTGCCCAGCCGCTCTTGCTTGCTGCTGCGGCTCAGCCTTGTAGGTTGCCAAACCTCCTCTGTAAATCTCAAGCACTCTTAGCTCGGTACAGGAGAAGCTCACGCAGATCCTTTCAGCGAGTTCCGACGGCGTTTCGAACGCGGATTTCGCAAAGCTGAGGCCGCTGGAGCTGGAGATTTGGCTTCTGGGTGCTCTGGTATTGACTCTGTGGTTCAGCGTAGATGCTTGAGCGCAGGACTTTTGATGGGCCTAGGGATCGCAATGCAGACAGGAACGGCTGCTTCTCATAATTTCCAGAAGCAACATCATCTGGGGTGAATGTGAGAACTCCTGGGTCTTGTGCCCAGACTTGATACCAAGGCGGTCATGTCCTTTCATCAGTTTGCGCCAGTAGGATGTTTTCGGAGGTCGCAGATAAACGACGCCTGGAATGAGGTCTTGAACAAGCAGAGGACGGCCTGCAAGACCCGCCGATGCGATTCCTGCTTGGCACGATCTGTCTCGCAGGAAGGAGAAGAACGACAAGCAGATGGCGATGATCAAGAGGAACTCCGCCGAGATCCTGCCGGGCTCACCGTGTCCCAAGCAGGGGGGTGGAAGCTCAGCTGAATCCAAAATTGAGGTCGGCCCTGAGCGGCGTTGAAAGCGAAGTCGCGAAGGCCGAGGCCCAGGCGGGCGGCTCCCAGCTCCGGTGGCCTCTGAAAGTGCCTCTTGGAGAGTCTTCTGCCGAAGAGAGAGTGGCTCTCTGGCAGCTTAGTGTCTATCAGGTGGCCTTCTAACGGTTTAAGCTCCATAGCGCCGCCAGCTTCCTTCCAGGGAAGATCTTGCGGAGGGAGTGGGGGATTTTCCGCCATATGCTGTCCGGGAAGGTCCGGATACTGGGCCCCATGGTCACGCGTGGCGTGACCATGATGGACATGCTTGGCGAGAGGAGCTTCACCGGGCTAGAACCTAGCACTTCGCGCCAAGTGATTTGGACGACGCATCTTCCATCTTTGCCGTAGCGTCGATGGCTTGCTGAGTCTTGTCGGAGGATACTCTCGCAAGAGCTGAATGTAGAGCTGAAAGATAGTTGCGAGGTGTTTGATCTGTGCGTGACTAGTAGTGTTTACGAATCGCGCGAAGGCCTCACGCGAACTCCGGCATGAAACCGTGCCAGGACTGAGGCGGCGGAGAGTGCTGTCGATGCTGCAAGAGACTTCTTGGCCGCTGCGAAGGAGCAGGCGACGCAGTAGGAAGGACAGGAACCTACTTTAGGCGGTGATGGGCAGCTCTAGACCAGGGGGACGTTTGTGCAGTGATGGTAGTTCAGAATAGCCCTCAGATGCTCTGAGTCTGACCACACTGGTCTTGCAAAACTGACCTCAGCCAATTGATAACGCAAAGAGCTTGAGAGCGACTGCCTGGGAATGGAAGCCACTGATTCACCGTGTGGTACCTTTGTCAACAGTGCTACCTAAGCTCTGACACATTCGCATCGCGGTGCACAGCAGGGAAGAGACAACCCATCGCAGCCACGGGATGCTCTCAAATGCTTTGTCCTCGATTGCCGCCTGCAGGCCTTAGCGTTGGGTGTCGACAGCAACTTCGAAACCGAGGCACCGACCTGGCTCTTAATACAGTTCGCTCAGCTCTTTGCGGCTCGCGGTTCAAGCTTGCCATCGAAATGCGTAGTGACGTAGTTCAGCTAACAGAAATGCTTGGTGTTGGACCTTCGCAGAATTCATGCGAATTGTGGCTCGGGGTTTGCAAGATGTCCCTCACTTGGAAGCCTCAGTAGGCCGTCAGCTCTGGAAGCTACTGCGCATGCGTCTGTGTGTGTGCATCCTGTGAGCCAAGGAGTCTGGGTTATGATTGGAAAGAGTAGGGATATTGCAGCAGGGGGGCAACCCCATGAGCATAGCTGCTTGCCCAACGAAAAAAGCGATATTGGGTCTGATCAACCCACCGTACCTGCTTGCACAGATATCAGAGTCAAGTGGAATTGCAAGGTTGAGGCTTTGCAGGTGTGTAGTCAGGAAAGAAGGACCCCGTACTCGGAGTGGAGATCTGCACAAGTGTGTGTGTGTGTGTCCTGCTTCGGGTGAAGGGTACCGCCGCCGCCCAATTATAGGCAGGTATGCCCCAAAACACATTGCAATGTAGAAAATACCCTTGGTTAAGGCGTTTCTCGAAATGGACAAGGCTAGGCTTCCCCTTGTTTTCGTAACTACATCAACCAATCTGATTGCTGTGACATAATATGTAGAGCTTAGCGTTCTTCCCAGTTGGTGTAACTCCGAAAATCGGCAAAGCTAGGTTGATTCAATTTGTGGCTCATAGTATGCGCCACTGGCGCGAGTTATCACAAAAGAGTTTTCAAACCTGCGCTGTGCATGTTGCCTTTGCAGGTAAAAAGAAGATATATGCAATACTCGGGTTCTTGCGTTGCCCAGCCATGACTCAAAAACCATGTAGTAATGAGTACTTTACACTTAACTGATAACATTCTTGTCAATTTTCTGTTGGCACGGATTAAAAACGGCACATACCGTACAATGTACGATATGCCAGCTACTAAAACATAAATGACTTCATAAATATGCAGTCTAAAAGGATACGCAACAAATCCTGTCGAGCTTGTCTGGACCTAGGCAAAATTCATGGGCGTAAAGAGACAAAGATGAGCTCAAGGAGTTGTATTCTGAACATGTTCTCGAGGAAACGTGCCAAACGAAATAGCAGCTTCACATATTATAGTGGAAACTACACCCTTATGAACTCTTATAAGACACAGTGGAATTACATCAACAAAATTTACCATGAAGTTGTTGAGGTGTGTAAATTACAGCAATTGCACGCATCGATTTTTGATCAGGAAGACTCATAACATGTTCTGAAAGATATCAACAGACCTTAATTAAATCACTATCAAAGAGGACAAGGTGCTGATCAACAAACACTCAGAACCAATTGTATACTTTGAAAATCTTGGTGGCGATGATTGTTGTAGGCACGCCATACTTTGATGAACCACTCAATTATGTCACATATTGGGTTGACAAGTCTATTCAAGAAATGGAAGAATGGTGTCTTGATTGCTTGAAACAACAAATGTTTACGCAAGGACAAGTTACTTCTATATCGCATGTTCATTTAAAAATGAATAAACAACGCTTCAATTTTGCTGGGAAACATAATAACTACACCGGGCTTAGTCCATTTTGGAACTTGTGCCACCGGAATCGGCTAAATCCTGTGTCCCACAGTGGGCTATAATTGGTGAGCGGTGGTGTATGATATCTTGTCCATTTCATCTTACAACAAGATGTGTTCCATATGGTGATGTGTTTTGGGGCATACCTGGCAGTGGTGGTGGAATCAACTGAACTAGACAAGCCTATGCTAGCGAAATCAGCATTTCCTGTTTACTTGCTTCCGCAAAGCTTAGTGACTCAGTGTCCAGCTCACAATGACATCTCTCCAAGTGCAACAAAGGCTGTCTCATGCGATGCCAGCAGCAGTTTCCGACCCAAGGATTCAGAAGTTCACCATAACACCTTCCCGCAAGCGGGATGAACATCAAACAAAACTGCTGCTGTGGAATTTAGATTTAGCTTCACTTCAGGCATCTGCAGGCCTCGTCGACATTGTCATTCTCCCTTCACCCCAAAGTTTTAATTTGGACCTGGAACTTCGTTGTGATCAATTTCGAGTCACGAAAGGCCAAGCAGATGGCTGCGGTGGAGGCCAGGGAATTCCATTTGCCGCGAAGACTTTGCCGAGTCGGCCTAAGCCGTCCTGAATCATTCAGTTGGGACACGCTTCAGCTTTGCGAATCCACTTCGATGCAACAGTCTGTTCCAATGCGTCGTTCACTTAGACTTTTTTCGCGGCCTCTGATGTCACCGTAAATAACTGGAGGCATTGTAGTGGCATTGTAGCTGCCAGCACCGTAGTCGAGCCAACCATCCTGAGTTCGCAAGGCTCCGTATGAAGAACTGTTACGCAGCCGACGTAGCCGTTGCAGCAAGTGGTGGTAAATAAGTTCCCGAACAGGCCAGGAATCTGCAGATGAAGGTTACGGCGCTTGAGAATCGTGTCAACACGGCAGCGCACGTGTCCAAGGCCAGCATGTTTGTGCGTGTTGTGTGTATCGGCGATATCGGTATATCGCTGTATGCCTGTGGGGTTGAGTCGGAGCGACTTCATTTTGCTTGTTGAATAACGCGAATGATATGGGAATCCGCTCGACTCTGGGCGATAGAGTGATACCGATGTTTGTGCAGGCCGCCCGGAGCAAAATCCAGCTCCAGGAGCGGAAAGCGGCTCTCCTCAGGGAGGTGCCGGAGTTGAGAGCGGTTTGGGTTTAAGACGATAAGTCTATGTAAAGACGAGAAGTCTATGTAGAGGTCAGGGGGCAGGGGGGACAACCGTGCTCGGGCAGGGTTTGAGATTGGCGGCTTCCACTACACCGTACCATGATGTGCCGGCTGAACTTTATTTATCAACACGGGGTGCTTCACTTGTTCACATTCGAGGGTAAGGCAGTTCCTGTCAGCCGCACCGCTGCTCTTTCTTCGTTAGGTATTGTAACTGTAAGCTTCTGAATCTAACCCAGTGTAATCTCTACACAGTGCCTCACAAGTTCGTATGACCCTGAGCAGTCGAATCTTGAACACCTCACTGCAGCATTCAATCGAAACCCCTCCAAACCCGGGACAGGCAGCGACGATGTGAACGTCAGGGTCCAGGCGAAAGCTTCCGAGTGAGATTTTGAGATTTGCGCATGCCCCGTCAAAGATGATGAGACATGATACGAGCTGAGGGAGGATGAGATCGGTGATGCAGTGAGTAGCCATTCCCCCGAGCCAGCAAGATGCGACACGATGTTGGAGACCGCATGGGAGCTAGTCGAGGAACCTGCAACTGGCGCTTGCATTACATGCAAGATAAGAGACAATTGTATGTGGCGCAGAATTTGCTCCTTTGGGTGTTTGCAAGATTTGCAGTTTGTGTTGGCAAATGGGGGAGGCGCCTTGGGAGGTTTTCATGGCTTCGCAGGGAGCTTTCGGGGGAGCACCGCGACGGAAGGCCGCAGCACTTTCCAAAGGACGCGGAGTCAATGTCTTCCCAGGCGATATTGCATTGCTCTGCCCTTACTTACTGTAGCACCCAGCACCGAATCGTACAACTCGATACCTCAACTGACTAACTTCCATACCTGTCAGCCATGGCTTGTAGTGGTTGCATCCGATTGTGCACAGATTGGCTACTACTTGTTACTTGTAGTCCTTGTAAGACTTGCGCCCTGACACACTTAGGACCTAAAGATACCTAACGTGTGCAACAGCTGCATGCCTTATGCACGTCCAGCTTTGTGCCCCATACTGCATATGTATCGTCGGCCTTGGTCTTTACGGCGGAAGCTAGCATGACGTGAACGTTGTGAGGTTTTGGATTGACTCCTTGTGTCAAGTTGCTTAAGTAGCATTGTCAAGGGAATACGTGCACAAACAGTAGCCTCGGTTGCCTGAGAATCCATTGTTGGAGCAGGAAATGACCCGGAGCCCGTGACAACGCTTTGCTGACTTCTCCAACAGCCAGACGAGAAGGTTTGAACTCCGCCTTTGCTTTGCATTATTCTTGTGCTAATAGTATGCCTCGACATCAAGGGGAGTTGCTGGTCGGTAGCCGAGGACGTAAACTTGCTAGCCTTCCAGAGCTCTGGAGTCGGTTTGGCCCTCATCTCACACATCCAACCTTAGGCCTGGGCTGAGTCTTGCTGTTGAAGACAATTGTCTTAGGTAGCAGTGACGTAGCTGGAGTGGAAAAGGGCAAGGTGCGCAGTCGAGCCGCTGTCTGCTTGGGGTGGGTGTGAGGGTACTGCCAGTGTTGTGTTGTGCTTCTGTCTGTCTGTGACAACGCCGTGCTCTGCGGTGCCTAACGCACTTCCAAGCGACGAACAAAACGGAGACAGCCTCCCCTTGTCATCAAGAGGATCGCTTCAGTACCCAGGGCTTTGTTTTGCTGATTAGCTTGCCACCACCGGCTTTTGATTGCAAGCTCTCCGCGATTTGGCTTCAAAGTTGGCATTTGGCACCTCTGAGCCCGCAGAGACCAACAAGATCCAACAAGCGCCACCCTCAGGCTGTCAGTCTTGTTAGGCATAGGAGGTGCATTGAGCGCCTACTTGCGAGACCTCAGGACCGGATTGTGTTCTTGCAAGCACTTTGCACTCGTCCTCATGAGAATGCCACAGCTTCCGGCACTTTCTAGCAGAAGAACAGTCCAGGCCTGCGTGGTAGGGAGCATCGAGTCTAGAGTCTACAGAAGTGCACGGCCCCACTTTGAGAACTTGAGAAGAAGATGCTTCATGCGTCTTCATGGAAGCCAGGCTTTCCCTCTTAATTAGGGGGCGGTACGTTTTTGTTTCACATGGCCGTTCCATGTGCAGGGAAACCCTTTGTCCCTCCAGTGGACCCTATTGCCCCGCCGGAGCAACACTCGTGTAGGCTCCTATAGGAAACAAACTGAGAGCTCATATCCAAAGGTGTGTTTTGCTAGTCTGTTTGATTCTGTTTGCAAGACCTGATGCGGATCAGCACGATCGTCCGATGACATGCCCCCCGCTCACATGCCTGCGGGCGAATCCATGAACTGTCCTGCAAAGCTTCCTCAATGAGGCTCTTCATATCCTGGCACAAGAAAACATGGCACCTGCTGGGCTCCTGAGTGTGCGGGCAAAGTGGCTGATGGTAAGACGTCTGTTCTAGCGATAGGGTCGCTGGGATCCGGCAGGGGGTGGCGAGACGTGCGGGACTTCCGGTTTGGGTCTTGAATTGTTCGGGATCGCAAGATCAATCGAGTTCTTCTGCAGGCTTGGCCAGTGCTGCGACCCTCTCTCTCTCGCTCGCTCTCTCTCTCTCTCTCTCTCTCTCTCTCTCTCTCTCACTCTCACTCGTTCTCGCTCATACTCTCACCCCCGTTCTCGCTCTCCCTCTCCCTCTCGCTCTCCCTCTCCCTCTCACTCACACTTTAACTTACACTCACTCACTCACTCACTCGCTCGCTCGCTCACTCGCTCCCTCGCTGGCTCGCGCGCTCACTCACTCTTCTCTCTGTCTCCACGTAAAAAGCATGATTGTAAGCCAATGCAGCAAGACCCGGTCATGAATCTGTTTGGTTTGGCACAGATCCGGGAAACATGGGCTTCGTTCGAGTGAGCTTTCAGGCTGATGGCCGGAAGCAAAGCCCAGGTGTCCAAGCCTTCAAGCTCTTCTGCGCAAACGTTCCAAGGCTGGCCGGGGAGTCCAGGGCGGTGCCAAAACTCCAAGTCTTGGGCAATTCTCCTGTATCATGTGAGTTGCTGTTACGTGAACTCGAAGGGAAAACACCCTGCAAGTCGGCTTAAGCGTTTCGGTTTGTTTCTTTGTGTGTATGTACTTGTGCACATTTCGGTGCATCGGGTTTCTGGAGCAAAACCTCTTATCCAGCCCGAGTTTGATCTGCCCATCCCTGCACTCCATAGTGCTTTCCTCACATGGATGAAAATGGGCCCTTCTTGACGATGTTGTGCTTTCCTGCCCCATGCTATCTCGCTGTTGTTTACGTGTCGGTTGGTCGGGTTGCTCTAGCCCTGCAACCTCGACCCCTCCCAGAATGCAGGTGAAGCGAAATCAAATTCGACTCGGGTGTGCCTGGCAGCCGACCCAGTGGTTCTCACGGCCTCCGTTGCTCTGGGGGCTTGCTGTGTCAACGCAAAGGTCTGCTCTCAAGACAGGCTTATGTGCACACTGCACACTGCTTGGCATCCACCGGCCGTTGGCCACTGCGAAACGAAACCCGGTTCTGCAGCCGAGCTTGTTTTCGCCGTCCTGTCCAACCGCCCGAAAAAGGTATTGTCCGGTGCTGCATCTACGCAGTAGTGGCTGCGGTGCCTGCAAGTTGCAAGCTCCTTCGTTGTTGGAATGGAAGAGTAGTTCTTTTGAAGACATAGCTTGGGCTTGGATTTAGGGGGTGCAGAGGGGGAGTTCTGCCTCTCAAACTTTCGTAGTGGTTTGGGACCGGATGCAGACCACCCAGGAAGCAGCCACCAACTGCAAAATGGCTTGCAAGAGTAACAGCTTCCATGTCCGGATGGGATACGGTTTTGGGATAATTGCCAGCATGTCGTCGATACGGGGAAACGACTGGAACCGAACGGGGAGTAAGTTGAAGGAGGTGCGCGGCGGAACTTGCTTGAGGGGCCCCGCCCTGAAGCCCAGGCATGGATCCTGGCATGCCTTTTGCTTCTTGCGGCCGGCTGGTCCTTTTCAAGTGCTGCCCTCAGTCCGGGAGGTGTCAGTCCATGTCAGTCCTTTTGGTGGCTGCAGTCGCCGACCTAAAATGGAGCCTGGAATACATGCAGAAGAATCATGCAGCTGCAGACGGTCCTGAAAGTAGCCTTCTCGCAGGCAGCAAGCCACACCTCAAATATGACCCTATAAGACCCTCGCGCGTTTGGAACATGGATTGTTTTACACACCCTCAAGAACGGTGCTGCTGGTGCCTGCGCACCTGCGGAGCACTCACGTACTGCATCAGGTCGACTTATGCGAACAGCGGCGCACTTCGCTTATGGGCCTTTAGCCATATGCCTCACAAAGCTAGGAAGTTCCCCGAAGTATACCCGAGCCCGATGAGCCGGAAACCTGTGAAGGTGAATGCGTCGACTCCGAAGATGGGTCCGCTGCTTACAAGAGCAGTCACGCTACTCATGCTAGAGCTTTGAAGCGAAACACAGTACGGCGTTCCTGCTGGGCCTCCGTCTTTCCACCCCCCTCCCCCCCCACACCCCCACTACCCCGACATCCCCATGACCCTTCACGACGATGCACAATCTTCGCTGTGCTCTTCATAGGTGCTTGAGCCACGTTCAAGTGGCCATTGGTTCACGGATACATGCCACGTTCAAGTGGCCATTGGTTCACGGAAGCAAGTGCGTGTTGACCTTGCGCAGGGGCCATGCACTCAAACTACACACATGCTCGCAAACACTCCTCCTCATGGGCGCTGTGCTGGACTATTCCTTCGGCACTTGCTCTCAAAAGGTTACTTAAACACTTGAAGGGTCAAAACTGTTGCTTTGAGCATCCCGGAATGAGGCCGAGGTAGCCTTGAGCACGACACAACTTCGTTTTCGACAAAACCTTGGTTAATCCATCCGCTGGGAGTTCATCGGAAGGAGCATAGGAGACATCCACTCCCAGAGCTCTCGTATGATCCCCCAGATACAGCTAGCAATGACCATTTCCATTTTCTAACCATGCACCCCCCCCTAGCCCCCCAAACCATAACAACCTATACCTCAACCCTAATCCC